ACCATTGAAATCTACCTGATGACTTTATAGACATACACAGGTGCCAAGGATCTGAGTGTAACGGATTATGACTAGTAATAATCAGATACAGATGAGAGATGCATGCGTCAACATCTCATTGTTATTAGCAAAAACAATGAGTCTTTCTGTAAGAAACAGTTAATTAAAGGTATATTTTGCCCTGATGGACCTACATAACTACAGCCATTCTGAAAACAGGTCAAATCAACTGGCTGAAGCTCTGTTTCCATTGGACAACCTAAATGGCAGTATGGCAAAGCTTAACATAATGATTTATTCCAGTTTGGGTCACACATCTTCATATTAAAGACAAACAAACACAAGTTAGATGATACAGGACACAAGCTGACTTCCTGCCTGATGAATTTGCTGATTATGTTTGTTTTTGTCAACTTGACACAATCTAGAAACACCTAGGAAGAGGGAACCTCAGTTGAGAAATTTCCTCCATTGGATTGGCTTTGGCCATGTCTGTGAGGCATTTGCTTAATTGCAAATTAATGTAGAAGGGCCCAGCACACTGTGTGTGGTGCCTTCCTTAGGCAGCTGGGCCTGGCCTTATAAAAAAGATGGCTGAGAAAGCCAGAGGAGACCAGCCAGTAAGCAGTGTTCCTTCATGGTCTCTGTTTAGTTCTTGCCTCTGGGTTTCTGCTTGAATTCTTGTGCTGACTTCTTTCAGTGATGGATTATGACATAAATGTGTAAGCCAAAGAAACCCTTTTGCTCCCCAAGTTATTTTTGGTCAGTACTTTATCACAGCAAGAGAAACCAGAACACCCTTGGAGCCACATCACAAGTCTCAATTACAAATGTTTCTCAGAAGATCTTCCTGTGGAAATTAAAAAAATATATTTTATTTATTATTTTTATTTTATGTGTATGAGTGTATTCCCTGCATGTAGGTAAGTGCACCCATGTGGTGCAACGCCTGCAGAAGACATAAGGGGCTGTCGGATCCCCTGGAACTGGAGTTACAGACAGTTGTTAGCTGCCGTGTGGGTGCTGGGATTCGAACCGGGGTCTTCTTCAAAAGCAGCCAATGTTCTTAACCACTGAGCCATCTCTCCAGCCCCGCAATTATAATAATTTTTAATATTCATGGTCACTGTAGTATTAGTGATATTTTATGATAATAACCAATGATTCAATTTTAGTTTGTAAGTAATTTATAACACTGTTACTGAATATTTTTATTGGCAATTTGAGTTTGAAATATGGGTAAAATTTCTATCAGGAGGAATATTTCATATTGTTAGAAACTATTATTTGATTTCTTTATGGAATGTAATCTGATTTGTTATAATTATTTTCATTTACATTATAAATACATTTTTTGGTCTTTTTTGAGACAGGGTCTCCCTGTAGCCCCAGCTGGCCTGGAACTTGCTATGTAGACCAGGCTGGCCTCAAACTCACAGAAATCTGCCTGCCTCTGCCTCCCAAGTGCTGGGATTAAAGGCATGTGCCACCACGCCCGGCCTTATAAATATATTTCTAATACTGACAAGAATATACAACAGAAGCAATAGGATTTGGTAAATATTGGGATCAGTAACTTAATTCACCCTTGTAATGATTAGGAAATCGGTGATACAGGTTGAATATCCCTCATCCAAAAATATAAAATCTGAAGTACTCCAAATTCTGAAACCTTTTGAACTCCAACATATGCTCCACAAGTGTCATATTCCATTTGTGACCTCAAGTAACAGATAGCAGTTAAAACACAGCCTTCCTAAAAGTATTGTATAAGAGTAACTTTGGGCTGTGTGAATAAGACATACAGGAAACAAATTAATTTTGTGTTTAGAATTGGGTCCCATGCTCAAAATACGTTATTGTGCATATGTAAATATTTCAAAATCCAGAACATATCTGAAATCTGAAGCAGTTAAAATTCCAAGCATTTTGGACAAAGCCTACTCACCTGTATAGTATACTATCACAAAGCAACTTCATACTTACACATGTTTGCACTCAACACTCAGATATCATGCCACCCATAATACAGGCATTGATATTACTCCAGTAGTTCTGACTTTTCCCCACTTTAGTCCCCCAAGCTTACCATCTCTTTGTGATTGGGGTAGAAGGTCTGATCAATCAGAGGGAATTCCTCTGTCCCGAGTTTCTTATGCAGTCGAACCATCTGGGCAAACTATGAGAACCAGGAGATAAAGATCAGTGAGTTCTGTACCTCAGGGGACTCTCCAAACTGGGACCCCAAGTGCTACAGCTTGGATCTGGAATGTCCTCTAAAGGCCCATGTGTCAAACGTTTGTTCCCCAGAATGAAACTATTGGGAGGTGGTGAAAACTGAAGAGGGGAGGCCTACTGAGATGATTTAGGTCATCAAGGGTGTATTCTCAAAGGGGATGATGTGACCCTAGTTTCTTCCTTTTTTTTCTTTCTTTTTTTTTTCTTTTTTTAAAATTCCAGGCCACAAAGGGAAGTGGCCCACAAAGGGGAGTGCATCCATGATGCACTTCCAACATGATGCTCTTCCTCTCTACAGACCCAAAGCATCAGGGCATATATGTCATGGACTGAAACCTCAAAAACTGTGAGTGAAATAAATCATTTCTCGTCAGGCGTGGTGGCACACGCCTTTAATCCCAGCACTTGGGAGGCAGAGGCAGGAGGAGCTCTGTGAGTTCGAGGTCTACCTGGTATACATAGTAAGTTCCAGGTCAGCTGGGGCTGCAGGGAGACCCTGTCTCAAAAAAACCAAAACAAAACAAATAAATAAACTATTTCTCTTTATAAGTTGATTATCTCAGGCATTTGTTACAATAATCTCTAAACATCCTCACTTCCCGAAAGACAGTGTGGCTGCAGGCTCCCACATGTACAAAGAAGTAATTCCATCTCCAGTAGTACTCTTCCTGTCACTTACCACCCAGGGCTTGTCACAGAAGTTGTAGACAGAATGCAAAGAGTTAACACTGGGGATTCCAGCATACTGCAGTCCAATAACCAAACTGCGGTAGTCTCCATTGCGTGCCATGCTGAAGGCATGCTGGCGGATCAGCACAAAGTCTGGCTTCAGAGACCTGGGTTGGGGGCACAGGTAGGAGTGTTGAGCTCCCACCCAATCAAGAAGTTTTCCATATCACTCTTTTAAATAAAGATTGAATTTCTAAATCTTCATAGCTCCTGGAAATTGTAAAGTGTTTTCTTCCCTCTACACAATGCACAAGCTGGTCCTTCTGCCTGGAGCACTGTTCCTACCCTTTCCCCATCTGGTGACTGATTCCCTTTCAGACTTTCCTAGCTGTTGAAGGTCAGCTCACAGCTCTGCCCACTGAGCTCTGGCATCTCCTTGGGCATAGTCTCTCAGACAACCAGTTGTCCTCCAAGTCTGCTGCCCAGAATAGATCCCAGCCTCAAGGCATCTGTGAGCTGTTCCCTCTGCCTGCAACATTCCCCCTATATATACCTGCATAGATCTCTTCTTCACCCTCTTCAGGTCGTCCTCAACAGTGCCTCGTGCTACTGGGCAAACCTATCCAAACTGCAAACCCCACCATCATTCAATAAGATCTACATCTGCTTTACCACTCTGGTTTTAATTTTTGTTGTTGATGCAATTTTATATTTTCTTATTTATTTATTTGCAGAACATGTCAAGGGTAAAGCCTTTTTGTCTTTTGAGGAAGGTCTGCTTTACTCACTACTAGGTCACTCAACATGTAGAACAAGCTCTTAGCACACAATAGGTACTAAATAAATGTCTTTTGGGTGTCAAGTGTTGAGGGCAGCACCTAGCATGAAGTAGATGCTTAACAACTAATTGTTGAATAATTGAAAAGTTTGCCTTGTGGCTTGCTGGAATCTTTGGCTTTTCAGAAAAGGTCTCCCCCCATATTCTGTGTCCAATTTTTTCTCAGGGGGGAGTTGGTGACTCTCCCCCAGTTCTCATGGAGTCCTTTGTGTCTCTCCCATCACACCAGTGTTGTACCCTATTCATACCGCACAACTTTGACCCCATTCCGAAGAACTTCCATGTCCACAGAGAATCCACCATTGGCATGAGCCACAAGGTTGAGATCAGAGAATTCAGCCTAGAAAAGTCAGATAATCAGTGATTTGCTCACATCGTATAAAAGTTACCAATCAGTCTGCAGTCCAGATGGTGGAGCCCCAAGTCCACCTGCCCAACTTACTTGTTCTACTTTAATATCAATTTCTCCGTGGATCTTCTTCCCTTTGAAGTATTTTGCCCTGGAAAGGAATACAGAAGGGAACACACATCAGTGCTCACATCCCAGACACTATGAGTACATCCAGGCTGGTCCCTTGGACCCTTTCCCCCTTCAGTGCTGGTACAGAAACCACATAATGTTTTAAAGTTGTTGAAATGATTGCCAAAAAAATGGGCAATGTTTTGTGAACAATAAAGTCTCTTGTAATCCCTGTAGAGGTGTGTAAGAGTCATTGTGAACTCTGAGGTGTATTCTTAAACCATCGAGAGCCGGCATTTCCCAAAATATGGTCTCTCATTACATTACTATTGCAAATGTTCCAGTAAATCTTTGGAAAATTAATGGTGTTATATCACTTATGACAGATTTTGAACTGTGTGGAGGTCTGGAAATGGCCAAGAACCTCAGAGAATATAAATAATATGACATGTGCCTGTGGTTTGGTGCTTTTCAGTGCCTGTGTAGGGCTCCATGCTTGTATCTGCATGTGTGGCCCAAAGCATCTCTCTGATGACTCCTTTCCTAGGGAGAAGCACCTTGATCATTGGTGTCATCTGCTGTGAAGGACACAACAGCCATGGGTGGCAGTTGCATCTGAACAGAAGCAGCTGATTAAGGAGTGCAGGCTGAGGGTATTTGTAAAGAAGCTGTAGCCAGCAATGATGGGGGAGGGAGGAATGCAGCTGAGGATGAGAGAAAGCCACAGGAAGGGGAGGAGGAGCAGCAACAGTAGGCACATCACAAATTGCTGTGTCATTGTCTCCAGCTCCACCCCAGCTAAGCTCAGCTTCCAGCGGCCTTCTCCCCAGGCCCAGGATTCCTACCATACAGGCTTCTTCAAAGAAGCTCCAGTCAGGGTTTTCATGGAAAGACGATGAGAGGAGGAGATGCTCCTAGAGACACTAGTCACTGACATGTACACAGTCAGGGTCTCTAACACATACACACTACAAAAATGAATCCTGGTGGCTTCACTGATATGAACAAGAGGACCCAAGCACAGATACTTCCTTTTCTTTTGTTTCAGTATCCTTTATCTCTCTCTTTCTCAGTCTTTATCTGTGTGTGTGTGTGTGTGTGTGTGTGTCTGTGTCTCTGTGTCTCTTTGTCTCTGTCTCTCTGTCACACACTTGCCAAAACTGACACTGTTCCCTCACAAGCATCCGAAGAGAACTTCTCTCAGATTTGCCAGTGTTCCATCTGTAACTGATGGTGAATGTTGATGATGAGCATACATCATTGTTTTTCAAGGTTTGAGTTTTGTTTTTTGACAGGAACTGTACTGGCTACTTTGGTGTTCTGCTTAGGTTGTTCTTCAGGGCTACTGGGTCTTGGTCCTTCGGAAAGCTCATGGCTTTGTCTCCACTAGGAAATGTCTTCTGTTACAGGGAATTGTCTTGGCCAAGGTGACACCTAATTTCTTGAGGGCAGCTCCTGATCTGTTTGTGGTCTCTGAGAGAGTATGATGGCCAATCTCCTTGTCTCATTCTGGGCTGACTGTGAAGTGCTCCTTCTGGGAACAGCTGAGGCCTCTAACCTCATGGTAGCCCAGACTCTCCCTCTGAAGTGTTAACCCCAAAGGCATATCCAGTAAGCCTCCTGTGTATAGATCTCTGCCTCTGAGTCTGTTTCAGGAAACCTACTTACAACAGTGGGACAGAGAAATCAAACTCAGAAGAAAACTCTAATGTGATTCTGGAGCTGGGTCACCCAGCAGTCAGCTGAAAGTGAACACCCTTAGTGGTGGAAGGTGTAAGTCTATGATCTGGCAAGCCCTATAACATTGGAGGTGTCGTAGTGGCAAAAGATGTAATGTGAAGTCTTTTTCCCATGATGGAGCGTGACACAGCAGGCCCCTAGGGTTTGGGAGCAGCAGTGATTTTTCCTGATGGTGGACTGCAATAGGAATCTGGTGGTGGAAAGTAAACCAGCTGGTGTAATATCCTTGACACTTGACAGATGTGAGGGAAATGGTAACCAGATGGGGGTGACTGTTTGCTAAATGCCACTGATTAACTGCAGAAAGATCTGACATGCTGATGGTGAACAATCACCAATTCAAGGCAAAATGTGAAAGTCAGAGAACTTCCCTGGACACGTTCAAAGGAACCTGCAGCCAAAGGGTGGACTGAAGAGAGGATCAGGCTCAGGATTTATTTGATGGAACTTCAGAGAAGGGTGGATTTTTGGGCTTAGCTCTTCTACACCATGCCCAGAGACTTAAAAGGACAGAGGTGGGATCTTAAGGTTTGAGGCAGGGATATGTGAACAGATGCAGTTAAAAATCCTGCACTTGATGGGCGTGGTGGCACACGCCTTTAGTCCTAGCACTTGGGAGGCAGAGGCAGGTGGATCTCTGTGAGTTCGAGGCCAGCCTGGTTTACATTGTGAGTTCCAGGCCAGCTGGAGCTTCAGGGAGACCCTGGCTCAAAAAGACAAAAAGAAAATCCTGCACATAAAGACTCACTTTAACCTATTCTGTTTACACTAGTTCACTTGCTCTTACTAGAATAGAAACCTTCCCTCTGAAGATAAGGCAGAGGGTCTCGAGTAAAGCAGGTGCCTTAAAGTTCAATGCCTGCCAGGCTCAGGATCTACCTCCAATTACTATTCTGGAAATCAGACCAGTAACTAGGTTTTGCTCACAGTGGGTCCCTTGGACCCGAGATGCCCCCAGTGTTCATTTCCATGACCTGCCCTTGTGGGATATGAGTTATTGCAGTAGGGAAGCCTCTGTGATAGCATGTACCTCCATGCTCCTACTGAAACAGTAGATCAGAGATGGAGGTATGACTCAGAAGTAGAGCACTTGCCTAATATGCATGAGTTCCTGGGTTTCAATCCCAGCACTGGAAAAAAAAACAGTAAATCCAAAGCAATATGTCACATACATTCCTGGGGTGATGGTAGAAATTAGGGTCACTCAGAAAGATCTAGAGATGATGGAAAAGTGCTGGTCTCCTCTCTTCTCCATTGAATTCACCAGTTGTGTCTCTGAGAGGCTGGACAGAACCAGAGAATGCTGATAGACTGCTGCAAGTGCCTTCAAATAGTACCTGGATTGTAGGTGTCATACTGGACATGCTATCATTACTATAGTAGATTAATAAGGCATCGGGTATGACAGGGGCCACCAATTTGGCAAATGCATTCTTTTCCAATTCTGATTAAAAAAGAAGACCAGAAAGAGTTCACATTTCCCTGGCACTGATAATATTTGTCGACAGTCTTCCTCAACCTACATCATAGTATAGTCCAAAGGAATCTGGACCATCTGGACATCCCGCAGAATATCACACTGGACCATTATATCAATTACATCATACTGATTATGCAAGGGATGGTGAACATATTGCTTTGATATAATCACATGTGATCTGAGGCAGGAATGGTGGCATATTCCTATAACCCCAGCCAACTCGGGAGGTTGAGGTAGGAGGATTGTGAGTTTGAAGCTATCCTAGGTTACCTAGTAAGTTCCAAGATATCCTAGGCTACATGGTAAGATCCTTTCTCCAAAAATCAAAAGATATATGAGTTTGAGAGGGCGAGAGAGAAACCACACAAAGACCCAGAGAACTATGATGATAGTAATCCAGTGGTTGGAAAGCATGCCAGGACAGCACCTCCATAGAATAAAGCTTTGTATCTCATGATTTCAAGTGTGAAGAGAGAAGCACAACAGCAGGTAGGCCTCTTTCAATTTCTGGAAGCATCATATTCTGTACCTGGAACTATTGCTCTGACCCATGTTTCAGGTGATATCTAATGCTGTCAGCTCTGAGTGGGGATAAGAGAGCTCTGCAGCAGATTCAGGGTGTGGTGCAAACAGTATTGCCACTTAGGCCATTTGACTTGGCAGGTCCTTTGATACCAGAGGGATAGTAGTGGAGAAATATGCAGTGTGTAGCCTCTGAGAAGTCCAAGTATGAGGTTCTGGACCTAGGTCATGCCATCTCCAGTAGAGGGTCAGATGTTTTTTTGTGGTGGTTGTTTTTGAGACAGGGTCCCACTATGTAGCCCTAGCTATTTTGGAACTTACAATGTAGCCCAAGCTAGCATTGAACTAATGATCTTCCTGCGTTAGCCTCTTAAGCTATGACTGAAGGCATATGCCACCATGCTTGGCTGAATTATATGGTTTTTGAGAAACAGATTCCACTGCAATATTGCACCCTGAGAGAGTCAGAATGCTTAACTTTGGGGCATCAAGTGACTCTGCATCCAAGACAGCTCATTTTGAACTGAGCCAAGCCACACCCACCAAGCAATAAAATCCAACGTTTATGAACAGTATTGAATGCCTTGGCTGATTGTTTAGGGTCCAGGAAGGAAAGTGATTGGAAGATCATGCTAAGGAGGTCTGGGATACAGAAATATGGATGAACATATGGGAGTGGGCAAAAAGGGGGGAGTGAACATCTTTGGATTGTGTGCTAACACCCACCAGGCTTTATCCACCATGGAAGTGGTACTAGGCAACCAGGTAGACAGGATGAGTCAGCCAGATGATGTCAGCCAGCCTCTAACCAGACACCCTAGTGCTAGCAGATGGGCACACGAATGAAGTGGCAATAGCAGCAGAGATAGAAGCTCTGTGTGGCATGAACCTTCTGGTTTTCCAGCAAGAGAGACCAACATTGAATCCTTGGTATGACACCATCCTTCAAGACCAAACAGTCACTTGGAGCAAGTTGACTACATTGGGCCTCTCCTACTCTGGAAAGAATAGCAATCTATTTTTACTGGAATAGTCCATGTGTAGTTTACCTTTTCTGAATGCAAGACTAGCCAGCATCACCGGTCGAGGGTTTAACAATACTTAATCCTTGGCATCATGGGATCCCATATAACATTGCATCAAACCAAAGGACGCATGTCATAGCAAAGTAAAAGAAGGCAAAGTAAAGAGGTGCTAAAGTGGCCTATGACTAGAGAATTAACCAGGAGGTTCCATACCATACCACCCAGAAGCTGCTTGCCCAAATGGAGACTTATTTTGGAGATGACACCATACAATAATAGGTATTATCTTCCTAAAGACACTGTAGACCCTCAGTTAATGACCATTGTATGTGCTGTTCTCCTAATAGGTAGAATACATGTGTCTAGGAAGTCAGAGGTCAGAGAGGGAGTGGCCCAGATTACCATCAATCCCAGTGATCCATTTTTTGGAATCTGTGCTTCCTGTTGCCTCAGGGCTCTGCAAGGTTAGAGGTCCTGGTTCTCCAAGGGGTGGGGGGACAATGCTACCAGGGGACACAGCAAGAATCCCATTAGATTCTAAGCTATGCTCTCCACCTGGGCACTTCAGGTTTCTCTTAAAAAAGGAGTCACTGGCAGAAGAATGTGACATAGATTGCTAGCAGGAGGTAGGGCCACTGGTACACATTGGCTCTTACATTGATATAATGTTTGGCTCTGCTCTCAGGCCATCCACTTGGGCATTTGCTGGAACACCTTGTTCAGCTTTCATGATTAAATAGACAAGGAAGCAGCCAGGGTCTGAGCCAGGTGTGGGAACACAGGTTCAGGGATCCCTCAAAGATGAGGAAATGGATCACCCACCAAGTAAGCCACTGAGACCAACAGAGGTGCTAACTGAAGGTGAAGGTTTTGCCTCCAAGGAAGTCTATCTAAGGAAAGAAGCCACAATAAAAAATACAGTTTATATAACCCATTATATATATTTACAAAATAACTCATGCTATATATAATATATGACACATTTTAGGACAAATAGGATACAAGAAATGCCTTATGTAATATATAGCACATAAAATATATATCATATGTGTCCCTAGTAAAATGTACATAAGTATATATATATAACTGGAATTAAAGTTTCAACTGGGCATAGTGGCACATGTTGGTAATTCAGCACTTGGGAGACGAAGGCAGGGAGGATCATGAGTTTGAGGCCAGCCTGGGTTACATAGGAAGACCCTCTCTCAAAAAATAAAAAGTTTCAGTAAATACTTTCACTATACGCAATCCAGTTTTGTATTTCCTATTCCGTTTTATTTCATTTTGTGGAGAAAATCATACACTTGTAGACGGATTATACAGTATAACATCATCATATAACAATTGAAATATATAGTATATGTCATATGTAATATATAGTATGCATCACATATATTATTGGAATAAAAGTTTTATTAAATAACTCTGCTTAGTATGCATAACATAATCTCTTGCTTTCTATTTTCATTTATCCTAATCCACAGACTGAAAAAACAAACACTGGACTAAATTATCTCTAAAAAAGGAGAGATGGAACAGAATATAGTGGCATGTGCCTTTAGAACTAGCACTCAGGAGGTGGAAGCAGGAGGATCATGAGTCCAAAACCAGCCTGAGCTACACATCGAGATCCCACCTCAAAACATCAACAACAACAAATTTTAAAAAATTTTTAAATTCTAATTTTCAACTTAGAGGATCTAACTTTAAAGCACAATAGTACAGGAAGAAAGGAGAGTAGTGAAGCTAGGGCAGATGGCATCAGACTGTGCATAGGTATGCTTTTATTACAAAAATGCAAAACTCCTCCTTTATTACAGCCTGAAATCTCCAAAGCTTCAATGATTCTGAAAGTCTGCGGTTGGGTTATGCGGGGCTGAGGCTAGTGTACTTAGGTCTTGTCCTTCTGTCCAGGTCACCACACATGTTTCAGGCACTAAATGAATATTTGCCAAATTGCCTGGAAGAAAAAGACTGGAGGAGCTGTTGGGGGGCTTATGTGATGCTGAAGGGAAGGGAATGGTCTTTTGCTGAATTCAGGAAGTACTCAGTAAATGCTTGCTGAGATTTGAAGAAAAAATGGAAAGCACTGGAACTGCAATTATGAAAGTGGAAATGGATTCATCAGTATTCATAAAGAAACTAGAGGGGAAACAAGGCAACAAATAATCTGTCTAGAGGGTTGGCGTAGAGAACAAAAGTCTACATGAGGGACTACCAATATATAGTGAGGGCCTCATTTATGTTTGCCAACTTCAATGGAGCAAATTAAGCCAGAAAGACAGTGCTTTGGGGAGTGGTCTAAGTAATTATGGAATGTGCTCAATATATACTTTAAGGGTTGTTGGAGAAAAAAGTGGAATAGTCTGTTACATTGATGAGAATGTGGTTTATCAGAACAGAATATAGGGAGAGATTAATAAGCGGTTTCTGGATTGATGCGGGAGGGGAAGAACAGCTGGGGAGATGGCTGCAAAGGCAGGGGGTATCAGGATCTAGTCAGAATAAAGAGGGAATTTGGACAACAAAGGGTGGGAATGTGTTCTTCAAAGTATACATGTGCAAATCAAATGCTTGTAGGGATAAACAGAGGAAAAACTGTAGGGAATCCATTTGATGGTTAAGATTAGGAGAAAGAGCTGAGGGACGGTTCTTCCTAGTATACAGAAGTGCTTAAATACCTCTCACATTCGAACACATAGAATGTATGCAATAAACATCTGTAGAATGAATAAAAGAGCCCAAATGCGCAGTAAGGGATTTAGAGGGAGGGGTGATAAACTAGTCAACAGCTGGTACCCAGTAAATTTGGATTGAAGTAGATCCCTGGAAAGTGAACCCTTAAGGTGGCAGCAAGAACTTCCAGAGACTTGGAATGAGGACACTGAAGATGACTCATACAGTTGGTGCTGTTGACTGGCTTAAATAGACTAACAGTCCTTTGGTGTATGGACAGGTTTGGAGAGGAATCTTAGGGGCACTAAAGGGAATGGGAAAGGGGTAACTCGTACGTACTGGGCTGCAGATTTAAGGAAAGAAATCTTGGAGGATAGGCTTCATGGTTGGGGCAGGTTATACTAGTGGTAACAAAGGGGAATGTACCCCTAACACGTAACAGGCACTGCATAGGTGCTGGCTGCATCCACTACAGGAAAAGGTCTCTGGGAAGCAGATGTAATCATAGAGAAACTCTCCATAAGTGCTCCAGCCACTGGAGGAAAGGGTCTTTGGAGAAAGGTGATCAGGATGGAGCACATGGTGGACAGGGAATCAGTGTTCACTGACTCCATTCAAAGAAATGACCTTAGGTGCTTAGTACATGCTGAAGGAAGCCATTGAAGGAGAAACTATATTGGATAAAGGTTTGGGAGTGGGGTATACAGCAGGCACTCAGAAGATAAGGCTCATACTGCAGAGAACTGACCAATACTGGATGGATCCACCAAGGGAAAGGCCTTTGAAGAAGTAGTTTGGGAATGGGAGATACTGGAAGCATTCGATAAATGCCTTCTAGATTCATTATAGAAAAAGGTCATTGAGGAGACACAGTGAGTCACACAGAAGACTCAAACACGCATACAGAATTCACCATCAGAAAACGATTCATTTAAAGGGGGCTTAGGACTGGGACATGTCAAACATTTAACGCTTTTTAGATTCTTTGAAGAAAATAGGTTCCTTTAGAAAGAATACCTGGACTTGGAATACACAGAAGACATTCAGTCAAGGCTCATAGGATCCATTAGAGGCAACCCTTGTGGTGAGAAGCAGGTGGAATACACAACAGGCACCCAATCAATGTTTACAGGTGAGTTTGAAAGCTTTGAGGAGGGGGCTGGAGTGGGATACATAGCACCAACTGGATACATGGTCACAACAGTCGTTAGAAGGCCTTAGGGCAAGAGCTGAGGAGAGCAGGACATGAATTGGGCTCTCAAATCATGCTCACGAAATTCATTAAAGCCAAAGACCTTAAGTGAAGGTTTCTTCAGTGAGGCATACTGTAGGTACTAGATAAATGCTTATGAGACTCATTAGGGTAAAGGTCTTCCAGGCAAGAATTGGGCAGGGGATACAGGACACATTTGGCTTTGAAGTCTTAAGGTATATACTGAAGCTTTTGGGAATGAGGACTGGGGATGATAATTGCTCCCTGCACCCATTCTGATTTGGGGGAGGCAGAGGATGGGCTGAGCACAAATAATTAAAAGGAAAGAAACTGGGTGAGGGGCCAGATGCCAGGCACACAAGTGGCGCTCAGTAATTGCTCATTCACTGTGGAAACATCTGGGGACCCAGGCCCTCGGGGAGGCGCAACAGCGGCTTACCAGTCGGTGTGCGGCTCGTCGATGACCAGCAGCACCCTGGCGGCGGCGCCCCCGCGGCCTGCGCCCCCAGAGCCGCCGCCCACCTGCTCGCTGAAGGTGGCGGCTGCAGCTGCTGTGGTCTGCTTGACCGCGTTGGACAGCGACGAGAAGAAGCCACCACCTCCCGAGGATCCCGGACTAGGGGCTGCTGGAGAGCCCACTGGCGCGGCTGTGGAGGTCCTCTCGGCAGTGGCGGTCGCGGAGCCGGGCGTGGCTCCCGGGCTGGCAGCCGAGGGTGGCGGCGGAGGTGGTTGAGGGCGCTGCAGGTCTGTCATGTACCCATTAGGCAGATTGGCCATGAAATTGCTGTCGGACAGGCGGCGCCGCAAGTAGTTCATGGTGGCGGCTAGAGGCAGGGGGTCCTAGGGGCAGTGTGTCTGGGGTTGGCGGGGGCGGAGCGCGAGGGGCCCAGGAGCACGGCGCTCTCCGGCTCGACGCGACTCCTCTGCTGCCTGCCGCAGACTGAGGCGGCACTGAGGCACAGCCGCCGCCGCAGCGCGGATGGTCGCAACCGGGAGCCCCTATTTCGCGGCTCGTGTGGTGCGGTCCGGCTGGGCCCGAGGCGAGGCGGAAGCGACCAAGGCGGAGGGGAAGGGGAGTTTGGGGAGGGCAGGCGAGTGACGTCAGCCCGCCTTCAGTGCTGGGACGGAGGTGGCGCCTGCCCGCGGCGGGGGCGAAAGCTCTGTCCGCGGTGCTGAAGCCAGCAGTGCGCACGCGCCACGCCGCATCCTCTTCCCCTCCCCCCATGAGATAGGGGATGCGCAATTTGAGGAGTGGGGGTGGGGTGCCTGTCCAGCGGGTCGGGCCGATAGTCGGGAAACCTCCCCTGGTTAACTGCTTCTTCCTGATCATTGGGCCCACTCGTGCTCATACACAGGTACCCTCCCCAGATACTCGGTTTTCCAGTAATGATGTTCACCACTGAAGGTATTTTTGGGGTGGGGTAGAGGCACATTCGGGGGTACATAAAAGTAGAACCCCCCCCTTACTGCAGTGTCCCACGTCCACAGTGTTGGGTAAAGAGAAGGGCATAGTGGTGGCATAAACATTATAAGACAAGCAGAGGTGGACACTTGGGAGATGTACATATCCCTGTCCTGGCTTGTGGGAGGCATGAATAACATGCACAGAAAAGTAAGGAAAGACATGGGGCATGCATAGCACAAAATACACACACACACACACACACACACACACACACACACAAAGTATATATACAGACACGCAAGCCCAGGGTAGCACATAGAAGCATATTGAACACACATATACATACACATTGTGCACACCGACAACATGCAAAGACCCAGAAAATATCACACAAGCACGCACACCTAAAGAAAACACATTCCCCTAAGTGATCATGGAAAAGCTGGATATGCAATGGAGACACATTCTGTGCAGCTCTATCCCTGATGTGTATCCACCCTCCTCCATATGCACACATTCAGTCTATATGCCCTCATTCCTCTACTCTGGACACAGTTAAAAACCTGGTGCCACCACTGTTCATGGTTGTCTTCCTCCATACCTAAGAACTTTCCACAGAGGAAGGATGCCAAATAATATTTGCATATGAGGGAATAACGTAATTCAGGCAGTAGTAGGACATAGAAGCCATTATGTCAACTTGTAAGGTCCTGCCAACAACAAAATCATAAATCCATAATCACTTGATAACTAACAGTACCCAACACTTAACTGCTTGTATGCATTGATTCATACAACCCTCTCACAATCCTATGGGCAGATAATGTAATTTTTACCTTGCAGATGATGGAAACTAAGAACCTCAAATCATTTCCAAAAAGTCACATTAACTGTGATTGGTACATGTTTTTCTTTTAATTATATGGATGGAACATGGAACATACAGTGCTTAGTGTGGTTACAACAAAGTGGAGGGGGACTGTAGTAGAAGATAGTTGGGATAGGTCCTTGACCATTTGAGCAATGATGGTGGACCAGTAGATTTGGGGTTAGAATGAATCATCCACTTATTGATTTGTTGGTTTTTATTGTTTTGAGAAAGGGCTCGTACTGTGTGGCCCGATACTATGTAGCCCAAGCTGGTCTCAGACTCCCCAGTCCTGAGATTCCAGATATGCACTAACATGCTAGCCCATTAGCTCATTCCTTATTCATTAAACCATTGGTGTGTTTAAACATTATAGTAATAGCATGGAGTCTGGAGTTACGTAGCTGGGTTCAAGTCCAGCCTCCTCTGTATGTTTGGGAAAGTGACTTAAACCCTTTGAGAGCTGGTTTCTTCATCTGTAAAAAGGGAAGGATAGGGGAGAAGTAATCTCTGTGCTTTTGCAAGTGCTGCACTCATCAGAAATGTCCTTTCTTCCCTTGCTCAAAACCTGCCTTTGGCCAGTCTCCAGGAACCATGCTCCCACTCCAACTCCAGGCCTGATTCCATCCTTCTTCATCTAGGTTCCCACAGTCCTTATGTTAAACATTTCCCAAACCATCCTCTTACACCCTCCTCCGTCCCAGCCAACTTCAGTTTCTGCCCCAGGCCTTCACTTGAGCTAGCCCTTCCTTGTCCACTCTGCCCCCACCCCAGGATGCCCTCCGGCATTCCAAATTGGGTATTTTCCAATGTTTTGAAGTATGTAATTCTGTTGCAAATAATTTTTTTCTCTTAGTAATGGAAGCAAGCAAGCTGGGCCTGGCCTGTGGTGACCTCTTTGGTGACTCTCCAATGCAGTTGCAGGTCTCAACTATTCTTCTTCCTCTGGGCCTGAATCTGTGCTCCACAGAGCCATCCTGACTGTGGCTCTTCCTGGGAATCTGGTAGGCTCCTAGTACTTGTCGGCCTCTGGTGCCATTCTCTTTTCCCAGGTGGCTCAGATTTTCAGAAGTTGACTTTTAGAATAATGTGCACGTCTCTCCTTGTGGAGTGTCTCCACTACCCAAGGCAGAGGTAAACTCCTGATGTGTATTTGTACCAGAATCATACCCACAACACACACATACTCATACATACACATAACTCATGGTTATGGTGCAGTTACAACCTCTTACACCACGTACATTCAATACATCCTTAATTCTTGCACAGCCCCTTAAGTCTACATCACACAGTGACATGTACCTCACAATTCACATATACACAGCCAAACTTCCACTCTTGCAAGCACATACCTCTCACACCCTGTAGTAGCAACCAGAAACCCTCACTGTGGCTCAGTCTTCCCAAGATGACCAAATAATCATTGACTTGTCTTCCTTTCAACCCATCAATTGGCTTATTTTATGTGTTCTAACAAGACTCTGGCTATTACAAATCTCTCACTGGAACCCCCCCGCACAGAGGAGTCCCTTTCACCCACTCCATAAAGTCACAAACTCTGTTCCCAATAACACTGCACCACCATGTGTGGTGCTTCAAAAATGTCCAGCTCACTACCCTTCTGTGCTGGCTTCTTCCTTTGTAAAATGGGCACAATACTTACCCTCTTGGGTTCATTGTGGATTAAATAAATCCACACTATGAAAAGTCTTTAGACATTACTGGGTTCACAGCAAGTTATTTTCTAAGTGTTAGCTATTACAATTATGATAATTATTCTTATGTGTCTCATCAGGAAGGGGTTTGGCATTCAGTGAATGGTAAACAAATGAGCAAATCCTAACAGCATTAGTGTCTGGGTTTGTTCTCTTTACTGTGGAGACATGTGCAGCTCTGATTCCTCTTCTTCCCTATGTCCCCATGTCTAGCACTATTGTTAGCATACAGTAGGCATGAAGTGTTGAATACATGTTTGAACAAAAAGAATGCCTATTATGAGTCTGTTCACTGGCTCAGATGGCTTCTCCTTCTACCAGTCCTCCCCCAGTCCAGATGCTCAGACTTATCTCTAGCATACAGTAGGCACTAAAGTGTTAAATGAAATGAGGGGGAGGGGGCTCTCCTCCACACACATGCTGACTGTAGCTTCTCTTTGCCCCTGCCACAGTTCAAAGCACATCACAGCCACCTCCTCAATGCTCTCTCCCCAAGCTATTTGTTGCTGGTAATTGTGGTGTTGGAGTCAGGCTATTTTCTGTTTTCAGTGGGTGGGTGCAGGTGCTTGCTCAGCTGGGTACCAACCCTTACCATGCTCCATCCAGTTCATCATTGTGACAGATCTGCCAGCTGAGAGGCTCTGGTGGGTAGGTGGGACCTAGGAAACTTCATGAGGCAAGAGAGAGCAACTAAGTAGCACACTGGCCAATCAAGAAGTACCTACCTACCTGCTGGGGTGAGTGGCCAATGGCAAGACTCACAAACCTAAGCTCTGCAGAGACTTGCCAGGCAGTCCCAGGACACTAGTCCCACTCCCTTAGAGGTGTGTCAAAGGCAGACTGGCGCTAGGCACTTCCTTTCAATCCTTTCAAGCTGAAACCAGTGTAGAAGATTTCCACAAGAGGCCACTGCTACTTTGCCTTAGAAAAATGCTATTGACCCACTTCTAGGGAAGTGGGCAGGTTGTTTTCCTCCTTTAATAAATCTTAGATGAGCCCGAAATGGCTGGTTTATTGAGGTCTGGGAGGTCAGAGGGTCAGAATGGAAGCAAGATGTTTTAGGGTTTCTCCTCCTCTGGGTCTTTGCAGGCAGGCACGTGTAGACATGGCCGTTTCTCTTGTACCACCAGCTTCTGCCCCTGTAGCTCTTCACACAGTGGCCGTGGGATCCCCCAGAAGGTAACATTCTTCTCACCCATACCTTCGACCATAGAAACTGTAGGCCTGGGGTGTTAGGGGAGCAATGGAGGAGAGAAGTTCAGGGAAGGCAAGAATGCTGAGACAGAGTCTTACTCTATAGCACAAGCTAATCTTCAGCTCACAATCCTCCTGCTTCATGATTCTCCTGCCTTTGCTTTCCAAATGTGGGGATTAAAGGCAAGCCCCATCACAGCCAACTCAACAAACTTTGTTTTGTGGTACTGGGGATTGAACCTAGGGCCTTGTATGTGCTAGGCAATTGATCTACCACTGAGCTACCCCTAGCTTTTTTTTTTTACTATTTGTTTGGATACAGTCTCACTACAGTGCCCAGGCTAGTCTTGAACTCATTTCTGCAGACCAGGAAGGCCTCGAACTCATGATCCTTTTGGCCCTAGCCTCCCAAGTAGCTGGGATACAGGCCTGCACCACCACACCTGGCTTAACAAGCTCTTAAGGAGTGTTCATTGTATGTTTAGCTGTGATATTGGACTATTTTTGATAAATGGAAAGATTTTCCTGTACCTCAGATTCCCTCAGCTACAAAATGGCAATAATAGCAATAATAATCTCGATACCTATTTCACAAGGCTATAAGGATAAATGGATTCAGGTAAAGTGCTCAGAGTTGTGCCTAGTACACAATAAATGCTCAATTAATAATGGTGGCTATTAATTTTGACATTAATTACCTTCTATTACCTCAAAAACCCTTTATCTCTCCCCACACCCCACCTTGAAACCCTATTCCAAGTCATTCTTTCTCCTCTTCTCTCCCTGTCCCCACTTTCTCTTTTTCTCTATTTGTACCTCACTTTACGCAAACTGAATCCAGAAAGGTCTTTCCCAGGATTATTTTTCCTGCTAGGCAAGACCTCTATTCATTTACACCCAGATTCTCTCAATTAGCCCTTCTCCATACTATCTCTCACTTGTGTCCTCTGTATCTCCACCCAACATCTGTAACTCTTCTTTAGGACTCAGTCTGAGTCCAAAAGCTGAGACATCTTGTCTCAGTGTCAGGGCCCTCATGAGCTAGGAGAAAGGCCACTTAGCTTCAACCTTAGTTGAGGCTAAGAAAAGGATGGGTATCTTAACCCTCTTTAACACCTAGGCCATTGTGGTCTAGTAAACACTTCGGGTGGCTAATCATCTGTGCCCAGGACTCTGCTTACAGTCTTGAAATTAGAAAAGCTTTTCCTAACCTCTACCTGCCCAGGAAGGCCTGATCAACTTTCTAGGCCCAGGGGGTAGTGGCCAGTCCCTTTGCCACTTTAACCCATTATCATTTCTCATGTGCCTTCTGTGAGAGCTTGGCTCACCTGGATCCCTTGTGCTGATGGACCCGGGTTCTTGTATCTGCAACAGTTTCTAAAAAGGCCTTGAAGTGCCCCAGGACAGCGAGATGTGGAGTGGGTGAAAGGAGGTATGGATGACTGTGAGTAACTCTAAGTATGGTAACCCAGAGGCCAGTGAGGAAGGACACATGGACTGTATGCATGGGAACCAAGGTGTTTTAGGGTTTTGGCTGAGTGATTACAGTATAAACTGAGGAGAACAGAAGCTGTGAATTCTTTGCTGATATCCTCTCTTCTTACTTTCTCCCCTCTTCCTGAAGCTAGGAGATGGCACCGGCAAGGCAGGCACTTTAAATCTGGTGGTGAAGCTCAGGCTGGGTATAACTAGCTCTCTTCCCATCCTTCAATATCACAACCCCCTCAAAGAGACACTCTGCCCCCAACTCACGAGAACTTGGGGAGCAAGGCTGTGCAGAGGCGCTGGCGAACCCGGCTGGGGTTGGGTCCACATGGTGGTGTGCACAGCCCCCATGTATTCCACTGTGACCATGAGCCTTTTACTGCAATGAGAGGTAGAGTAGGCCACAGAGTCAAAACAGGAGGTCTCAATGGGAAATTGTGACAGGCTGCAGGGACATGGGTCCCCAGCAGAGCCTGCTGCATGGGCTGCCCACCCTCCCAGCATCCTCTGTGGGTCACTTACAGATACAGTTTTGGATGTTATAGCAGTGTCGGATATCCTGGTTTTTCCCAGAACATCGCTGTCCATTAAACTTGCGGCTTCCACAGTTCCTTATGCGTGACTGCTGGCCTGGGATTTCTTCGCAACTGATGGACTTCATGTTCACACGGGTACAGGTGCTCCATTTTCCCCAGGCCTCCCACTCCCCATTCACTGCAGAGATAGGGGTGCAGCAAAGGAAGCTTGGAACCAGCAAGGGGCCTCAGGGGAAGGAATAAAGGGCTGCGGGAGGGAGTAGGGGTGATCAGATGTGGGAATGGAGGAACAGAGGTGGACCAAGGTATGAGGTCAGTAAACAGCAAGGCTTTAGCAGAAGGAAGTGGTCAGTAGAGATCTGCAGGGGGCTTAGGCATGGATATGGTGTCTCCTGATGTGCTAACCAGGGCAAGGAATGGCCATGTTACAGATGTGAGTCCGAGTGTCATCACCAGCACAGAAGGGGCCCCCATGACGGGGCACAGGGCGATCACATGTCCGTCGTTCTAGGGTCTGGCCCAGGCCACAGGTCACAGGGCAGGGGCTCACAGGGCTCCATGGCCCCCAGCCTCCAGCCACTGTTGGAGGGAGAGAGGGAGTGAGGAAAAAGGCCACCTCAATCATGTTCCCTGCCTCCGGCCACCTCCAGACACTTGAGGCAAACCATCCTCAAACGAAGAGTTTCATGGTCACATGGTACAAGAACTCTATTTCCTCAAATCATACAACATCTGTGCTGGAAATAAACAGCTCCACTGACCAAGTGCCAATGGTTTCATCCCTGCATACCTGGGCAGGGTGGCAGGCCAGTGCAACCCCGATATTCATAGGCTAGTCCTGAGCAAGGCTTCCCAGGAGGCTTCTGGGATGGTGCTGGTGCAGAACACATGCGGCTTCGTGTCTCCTTAGGTTCTTGAGCTCCACCAAAGCAGGAACCTGAGCAGGGGCTCCAGGAGCCCCAGGCTGCCCAGGCCCCATGTGCTATGGTGGGAGGGGGAGGGTGAATATGTGGTCAGGTATGCTCATGCCTTTTCTCCCTGGCAGTTTTCTGATTTGACCCCACAGACCCAGCCTGGGTGTCCCCTTCCATGCCCTGTGGTTGTCCTTACTTACTAGGGCAGACCTGATTAATGTTACAGGCCTCTGACTGCTGGGCCTCTCCTGGGCAGCGACCCCCACACTTGGGGACTGGGTGATCACACAATCGTTGGCGGGTCCGGGTTCCTTTGGAGCAGGTGACAGAGCAAGGCCCCCAAGGTTCCCACTCAGACCAGCCACCCACCTCTGTGAGAGAGAAGAGATGGGGATAAGATGGAGGTGGGGTGCCACTTAGGGTTCCTTACTTTCTTGTGTGTCCTCATATCTTCTGTCCCCATAGCTTGCCTACCAGCACTGCCCATCCTCACTATGGCAGCAGCCTTCAAACCGGTCACTCTGCTTCAGGTAGTCTGTCCTCTTCCCAAACCAAGTCAAAGTGAATTTCTCCCCTGCTCACAATTCAAATCACTCAGACTAAAATGTCTTCACTTCCAGCACTCTCCTTCAGCTACCCCAGCCTCCTCCTTAGTTCCACACAAAGCCAGACACAGGTCCACTCTCAAAGCCTGATTTGATTCTTTCGGTTGCTAGGGGTAGGGTGACAAGGACTGCATGCCTACCTTGATGATCCTTCTTACCTGGACAGCATGGCTGGTCCTCACAGGCCTGTAGCTGCCACTCGAGGGTCCCAGGAGCCACCTTCTCAGAGCATTGTCCACCTCTGCCCACACAGCGCCTGTGTCGCAGCTGGGACCCCTCAGAGCATGTCACTGAGCAGGGGGCCCACGAGGACCATAGTGACCATTGTGGGGACCTGCAGAGAGGAACCCATGTTCCATCCTGGTATGACCTGACAGGATGGCATATGGGACTTTAAGAGTATGGGTAGGCACAGAAGGAGTACTAGGTACAGGATGGATCACTTAGGGATGGTGGGTATTTAATAGAAAGAAATTGCATATACAGTAGGGGTATGACAAATGTTATTTCCCTTTATGACCAGGGCCCTGGAAATTCCCTAGCTTAGGGACAAAGCTAGATACACAATAAGCAAATTTAAGGACTAGGAGCCCAGAACCTTTCAACCTACCACCCTGCATGGTAGCAGGCAGACAATCAGTGTTTACTTAACAGAAGCCTTTATCCCAATGAGCTCAGAGGTTCCCTCAAAAACATCCTAGATCTATCCTTAGTCTCCTGCACAGTACTGGGTATGCATGTTGATGCTAAAGTGATATGAACTGTTAGTATGACTGGGGTTCCAGAGCTGCTCTCCAAGATCTCCATGCCTCTCATCCTCAGTGGTATACAAGGTTATATATGGTAAGAAGTTAGGAAATATAGCTACAATACAGTAAGGGCTTGATATATGCAAGCTGGAAGTCATGATTAGGAGACTCTAGTAGCCCTTGGAGATCAAACTTCCACCTAGGCCCTACAACGTATCTAGGATGGAGGAATTTCTCAATGAATGTGTTATCATAATTTGGGGTTTGGCACTGCCTCAAACTCCTCCATTCCTACAATGTATCTATATACAATAAGCACTCAATAAATATGAGCTGTTGTCAGAAGACTAGAACTACCTTCAGAAACACCCAAGTTGCACTCTACCTGAAATGTTTACAGGAAGCCCTGACAATGGTTTTCACTGAAGCTGGTTTTGTCTCCCCCAGGGGACATTTAGCAATGTCTAGAGACAGTTATGGTTGTCTCAACCAGTGGACGGAGTTGTTAACAACATGTAGGGGAAGGCCAGGGATGTTACAAAACATCTTACCATGCACAGGTCAACACCCATACCCCCAACAAAGAATTTTCCAGCTCCGAAGGGCTGAGCTATGGTCATGAGGGCCTTGGGAGGCACTCTTGAAAGCCCCAGAGAAAGAAAGAGCCTTGGGTTGTAGGCCTCAGTCCAGGTCCCCTCGAACCTGCATATCTGACAGAGGCCACCATTGCGTTCCTGGAAGGCATAGGCAGCATTGAGACAGCAATCCTCCACGCTGACACCTCCTCCCAGTAGGTTCTTGCACCTGCCAGAGGACTCCTCATACTGGGTGAAGCAGAGCACAGGGTCCGAACCTGTAACAGGACCAGGGGAGGGGAATGGATGGTAAGGGATATGGTGGGCCCAGGTACTCTGGGGAGACAGCTAAGACCTCATTCACTCACCTGTGGTTGGCAGGGTGAGCAGTAGCAGCAGTAGCGAGTGAGAGGCCTGTACTCCAGCAGTCATCTTGAACACTGCACTCCTATACTCCCACTCAGAGAAGTGGCCTTGCTTTATCTGGGCTGAGCTGCTCCTGGAAAGAGGAACTCAGGGCAGGAGGAACTGGGAGGGTATAATGCAGGGCCTCCTCAGTTCTGACTTCTCCCTTGACCCCTCAGCCTCCTCTTCTTTTTTCCCCTCCCCATTTCCTGTGTCACCCTTGCTCCTGTTTTGTTTGTCATGCAATCTCCGATACCTAATACTCTGCTCTGCCTAGCAACCTTTCAATGCTCAATCAACACTTGTGAGACAAATTCTCTCTGAAGAGCAATGAAGCCTGAGAGTTTGAAGTAGGAACCTCCTAGCTGTTTGACCTTTAGCAGTCACTTCGAACTCTCATCCCTCTTAGTTTTCCTATTTTTTAAGCTTTTTTTGAGACAAGGTCTTCCAATGTAGCCATGTCTGGCCTGAAATTCCCTAAGTAGACTAGGCTGGCCTTGAACTTGCAGTGAACCTGTCTTCCTCTGCCTCTTGGTCCTGAGATTACAGGCATGTAACACCATGTCTGACTTGTTTTGTTTTGACCTGTAAAATGCATGATTAACCATAGTGACAGGATCTGTGCCATGGAGACACTGAACAAGAGTGAAATCGGAGTAGACCACCTCAGGCAGTCTGTCTGAAGAAAGCATCAAGGCAACTGTTTCATCTTCCATCCTGAAAGCCCACCCCTCTTCCTAAAAGTGAGGTTCCTGTGGTTAGCATGTGCATGTGAGAGTTCAACACAAGGGAAGTGAGAAGGGGAAGTACATGTTTGGGGATTCAGAAGTGGGGAACTGGGTATACTCATGGCCCAGAGGGTCCTAGGTGCCCATCTGAAGAAGCCCTTAGGATCTAGGCTAGGAATGAGAAGAGAGAACTAGCAGGGCCATTTCCATTAGAATACACAGGTAGAAAACATTCCCCACTCCCTGAAGCCTGTTTCTGCTGTAAAATGTAAAAGGCTTGTAATCTTAGCTACTGGGAGGCTCAAGAAGGCAGACTGAAAGTTCAGTGCATGCCTGGACTACAGTTAAAGGCTACCCTGGCTAACTTAGTGAGATCCTGTTTCAAAAATTAAATTTAAAGGCACTTGCCACCAAACCTGATGACTTGAGTTTGTCCTCAGGACCCACATGGTAGAAAGAGAGAACCATTTCTTGAAAGTTGTCCTCTGATCTCTACATGTACATTGTGGCACATGTGAACTCCCCTGCCTCAAATAAATACAATAATTTTCTTTTTTGGTCTTTTTAAGACAGGGTCTCCCTGTAGCCCCAGTTGGCCTGAAACTCGCTATGTAGACCAGGGTGGCCTCAAACTCAGAGACCTGCCTGCCTAGGCCTTCCGGGTGCTGGGATTAAAGGCTGTGCCACAACACCCAGCTACTCATTGGATTTTTTGAGACAGGATCTTCCTGTGGCCCCAGGTGACCTGGAACTGGCTATTTAGATCAGGCTGTCCTCCTCAGGAAGATCCATCTGCCTCTGCCTCTCAAGGCTGGGATTAAAGCCGTATGCATCATGCCAGCCTACTAAGGTGTTTTATAGACTGGACTTGAGCTTCTGCAGATCTGGCTGCGGTGTAAGCAGGGTTCTGAAACCAATCCTCCATGGAGGATTCCAATCTTCCAAGAGGATGTCCCCAGCACTTAGAACCATTCTGGGTACATGGAAGATGCTCGACCACAGGCTGACAATAAATACATTTTTTAAAGGGCTGAGGGTGGCTGGAGATGCTGCTCAGTTGGTAAAGGGCTAGCCTAGCATTCACAAAGCCCTGGGTTTATTCCCCAGCACCATATAAATTGGGCATAGTGGCATATACCAGTAATCCCAGCACTCTGGAGGTGGAGGCAGGAGGATCAGAAGTTCAAGGCTATCCTTGGCTACATAGCAAGTTTGAAACCAGTCTGGGCTACATGAGATCCTGTTTCAAAAACAAACAAACAAATGAATGGCTGGGTGTTTAGCTCAGTGTAGAGCATTTGTCCAGTATGTGAAAGCTTTGAGTCTGATCTCCAGTACTGCAAAAAACAAATGCACATTTGCAGCACCTGACACAAGGATTGAAAATTAAAAATTTTAAGTACTTAAAACAGTGCTTGGCATATAACAGGTGCTCAGTGTTCATTAAATTGACTTATTCAGTATTTATTGATCATCTGTTGAATGTCAGATGTGGTTCTCAGGAACAGATAGCAAAGTGAAAAGGACAGATGAAAATCATAGCCCCTTAAGGATTTACACTCTACAAGGGGGGAAGACAGGCAATAAACATCGTCCATCAAAATCTTCTCCAACGACCCTTCTTGGTTGGCACCCTTGTCACTCTCTAGCCTTAGGATACATGAGAATCACCCCTTAATTCTATTGTAGATTGTTGGATCCCACCCATTTCTGATTCAGCAGGTGTGAAGTGGGGCTCCACAACATACATTTCTAACAAGCTCCCAGGAGACACCGATGATGCTTTGGGAACCACACTTTAAGAACCACTATTTCAGTCCCTGATCCCTCTTTACTTTTGTTTGTGGGTCTCATGTAGAGAAAACAACTCTACATGTCTTGTTTTCTGTTAATGATTAATTAATCTTCAGCCCATTTTCCTGAAGGTAAACCTCACCTCCAAAGACCTACTAATTCCTTTTCTCACAAGCCTTAATGAGTGAAATTCTACAACCTTTTAAAAACAGCACACTTTGTGCACTGGGGTTGTAGCTTAGTGGTAGAGTACTTACCTAACATGAGCTAGACCTGGGGTTTGATCCCCAGCATCACAAAAATAAGTAAATGAAAACTGTCTTTTTAATTCACAAAAAAGAGCTTGAGAAAGGCAATGTTCCAATTCTCCCATAAGCACAGAGAACAACCATTTGTAGAAAATTAAAATGAGATAAAAGATTTGGTCAGGAATTAAATCAAAGTCCCCTGCTCTTGATTTGGGAGTGATAAGGTGGTATTAATATTTTTATTCACATTGAAGTATTCTGATTCCTGAGAACCTCAGCTTGTCTCTGAATGAGCGCTCTGAACGGGGGATCTTGTTAAGATTCCAAGACTTCAGCTGTCAGTGCTGTTATCTTGTGAAAACAAACCTGCAATTCTGCCTGGCTGCTTTATTTAATCACCTGTTGCCCTGGTAATAATGCTATAATTGATATTTTGTTCCTAAACGGCATACTCATAGGATCCCCTGTGGATGAGGGTTGTCAGCACTTCTATCTCCCATAGAAGTCTACATTTAAATGACTTGGCAGATTCCTTATTTAAACAAAGAATGACAGTCTGGTCTTATTACTGCCTGATATAATCCATTTTTTTTGAGACAGGGTCTCCTTGTAGCCCCAGCTGTCCCGGAACTCACTACGTAGACCAGGCTGGCCTTGAACTCAGAGATCCGCCTGCCTCTGCCTCCCAAGTGCTGGGATTAAAGGCCTGCAAAACCATGCCCAGCTGAAATAATCCATTTTTCTGTCTCTTTTTGTCAGTTTCCCTCATTGAGTTTCAGCTCCATGAGGAAAATTTTTTTAGGGGGCGGGGCAGAGTTGAAATGAGGGCTTGCTATGCAGCCCAAGCTAGCCTTGAACTCATGGCAATTCTCCTGCCTCAGCCTCTTGGGTGCTGGAATTACAGGCTTGCTATGTAGCCCAGGTGGGCTTTGAACTCGTGGCAACCCTGCTGCTTCAGATTCCACAAGTGTACCACACCTGGCAAGGGCAGAGAATTTTGCCTAATTTGTTAGCTGCTAGGTTTTCAGGGCGTCAGACAGGTATGAGCTAAAAGTAAATAAGCAATAAATGTCTGATCAGATAATAAATGAAATAAACAGCAGTTGGATTGCTGATAAATGCTAACAGGAACAGTATGAACTGGCGGGGGGAAAAACGGGCATCACTTTCCAGCACCTATTTCAAGTGCTGGGATCAGATAAGACCACCTAGAAATGGTGCATGAGGAAGTCGTTTCAGGCAAAGCTCAGGGGAACCCCAGCATTCCAAGTTTTGGAGAACTGGAGGCCAGTCCAGACTGAGCAGGAGGAGCTTGTGGAGGAAGAGGACGAACAGATGAGGCTTGGCACTTTCACTCTGGGACCTCTCAGACATCACCTCATTTGATCTCAATTACTTTCATGTTTTATTTTTCCACCTATGCACACAGTTCTTGGAGTCTCTACTATAGTCTCATAAACAGGCCCACAATCAACCTTTTTTTTTTTTTTTAAGACAGGGTCTCTATGCAGCCCTGGCTAGTCTAGAACTATGTACACCATGTTGGCCTTGAACCCAGAGAGCTCTGCCTGCCTCCAGAATGCTGGGATTAAAGGTGTGCACCACCATGCCTGGCCTACATGGTTAAAAAAAATACATTTATTTGGTGTTTGTGAACATGCATGTGTGCCATGGCATTCATGTAGAGGTCAGAGGATAATTTTCAGGGGTTGGTTCTCTCCTATCTCCATGTAGGTCCTGGGGACTGAACTCAGGTTACGAGGCTTGGGTGGCAAGTGCCTTTACCCACTGAGACATACTTTTTTTTTTTTTTTTGTCTTTTTTGAGACAGGGTTTCCCTGTAGCCCCAGCTGGCCTGGAACTCACTATGTAGACCAGGCTGGCCTCGACCTCACAGAGATCCACCTGCCTCTGCCTCCCAAGTGCTAGGAGCTGCCACGCCCAGCCCCCCACTGAGACATCTCACTGGCCCCCTTTTAGTTTTATTTTACTTAATTTTACTGACGGGGGTAGAGGAATGGGTGTATGCATGGGGGGGGGAACACTTGCATAGAAGTCAGAGGAACAACTTTCTGGAGTCAGTTCTTTCCTTCTGCCTTGTGGGTTCTGGGAATTGAATTCAGGTTGCAGGGCTTGAATGGCAAACTGAGCGATCTTGCTGGCTCTACAGGTTTTAAAAAAAGATTATTTTTTTTACTTATGAGTGAGTGCTTGTAAGTACACCCGTGTCATGCAATGCCTGCAGAAGTCAGAATAGGGCAATGGATCCCCTGGAACTGGAGTTACAGACAGTTGTTAGTCACCTTGTGGGTGCTGGGAACCGAACCCAGGTCCTCTACCTGAGCAGTCAGTGCTTACCGCTAAGCCATCTCTCCAGCCCCTTGTTTTTGGGATAGGGTCTCATGTAGTCCAAGCTGCTCTTGAACTCCTAATCCTCCTGCCTCCACCTCCTGAGTGCTAGGATGACAGGCATGCATCAGCACACTTGACTTACATACATACTTAGATATGCTCGATCATATAACATCTCAGGCACTGTCATTCACTCAGGGTGTCACTGTCTCTTTCACTGATCCCCAGCCTCACTACAGTCTCCTACTAACAGTTTCACACACCCACCATCATGTCTCATTTGGTTAGACTCACCAATATTTCCTCTAAGTCAGTTTTCCCACAGGTACACACAGTTCTCATCATCACAGGAGCCATTTCATTTGGCCTATCATTTTCTCACATAAACCATAACAAGTCACACGTCACCAGTCTCTCATGAAGTCTCTTGCACATATAAAATCACTATTTTTCCTCCCCCTCCTCACTTAAGCCACTTAGGTCACACCGCCAACAGCTCCCTATAATGGCTTGTTACAGTCTCCTCTGAAGATTTTCACCTGAACACACAATGGTAAAGTACCTAAGACACTATCTTCCTCACCTACTCCTGCATTTCTTCTGAATTACCTTCCACCATAGTGAATCCTTTATTCACAGCTTTTTTTCATGTTCTTTTGAAAGTCTCTGTGGCCTACTCTAGCCTCAAACTCACTACTCCAGCTCGACCTCCCATGCTCAGTCAAAGCCTTTAATAAAGTCTCTTGTAAAGTTTCACTTAGTTTCTTAGACACTGACCCACCCACCCACCCATTCATTTCTCTTGTAATTTCACTTAGTTTCTTAGACACTGACCCACCCACCCACCCATTCATTCAGTCTCACCATCTTTTCCCCCCAGTTCCCTTCTGATATATACAGTCACTAATTCAATTGCTACAAGGCTCTGGGTAAGCCTCCTGCGATTATGCTCCCATGTCCTGGTCGGTCATGCACATCATTTTCCTCAAACATGAATCCATGCACAGAATTACAGCCTCCAAGTTTCTCACATACCCTGATCACATGGGTCACTCAGCATGTCATTGGCTCAGTCTCATTTTTCATAAATGTATTCACTTAAGTTTTATGGAATGTTTCACAGACTCTCAGACACCATTTGCTGATCAAGTTTCTCTCTACACCTGCGGAACACAAGTCCCTGCTACTGCTGGTCTCATGTGAACAGTCCCTCTTTTCCTCACAGATAGGTCTGTGTTTGGCCTCTGAAGTCTCATCAGAGCCCGTAGGGAGGCTACAGTTGTTAATTGTAAACCAGCCTGTTACTAGTCTCAGACACACACATACTTCAGCTTTAGCCTTTCAGACTTTACCAGTCACAACCAGCCTATTTCCTTCTTTACCATGGTTTCCTTGAAACATTTCCATACACATATTCTTATACCTTATGTCTCATCAGTTACTTCTTAGGCCTCATGGTCATTTCCTCTCACAATCAACTTCTTACACATATACTCTAATGACTTCAGCTAACAGTCCAGCCTTAATTAAACAGTTTCACACACAAACAGTTTCTCAAATGCCAGGTTGCCTGCTTACAGGGAGGATTTTCACCTACATATGGTGGCCCCTGACAATCTCGTTTCCAGCCTACATAATCTTTCAGTTTTGGTCACTTAGTCTGTCATGCTATCAGCCTGTATGTGGCTAATTTGTAGTCCCCATTCCCTACTCATAAACATTATCTTTTATGTACCATTGCAGGGTTTTATTTGGAGACAAGGCTTTACTGTGTAGTCTTGGCTCTCCCCAAACTCACAATCCTTCTGCCTCGGCTTCTAGAGTGCTGGGATTACAGATATGTGTCACTACGTCTGGCTATTATATAGTATCTAAACCACTCATTCTGTCTTAGTTGAGTTTCTGAAATATAGCCACAATTTCTCACATGGACACAGTACCCAAAGTTTGTGGTTAGGTCTGGCTTAGTCAGTAAGGTACTTGCTTTTTAAGCACTGAGGACCTGAGCTTGACTGTAATTCCAGTGCTAGGGAGGTAGAGACAAGTGAATCCTTGGGGCTTGATGCCCAGCCACTGAATCCAACTGGTGAGCTCCAGGCCAATGAGACTCTATCTCAAATGAGGTGGACAGTATTCCTGAGGATAACACTCAACTCCACGTTCCACATACATGAACAAACACGACCATGCATACACATGCACAAACATGTTTGTGGTCATGACTTCTGGCCTCTCTCACAAGTATAACACACAAAAGCACAACTTTCCAATTTCTCTCACCATGCTGGTTAACAATCAGCAGTCCCTACCACTGTTTCTGACATATGCCATCATCCTCTTTCTCTCACAATCAACCTCTGCCTCACTCTTATTGTCCTTCACACACATCCATGACTGTGACAGCTCATTCTGGTGACAGCAAGAGAAAAAAAATGTCGACAACCTTCAACAACACCTTTAAAAATATATATTTACAGGAACAATTCCCCATTCTCTGGGACTCTTAGAAAAAAAGGTCCATTTTGGGGAAGTAAAACAAACAGTGGAGACGAGTGCAACACTGTCTCCCAAACCATCAACCCCTAGGTTTCCAGGCCTGGTCTGGGCCAGTGCTGACAGGAGGTGAGCCCAGGAATCTTTTGAATTCACCCCCCTCCAGCCTGGAATTGATACAAGACAGGCTTCATGTCCCCCATTCCTCCCTCCCAACTCCAGGGACACTTAAAAGGGTCCTTTGTACCCGCCCGCAGGAAATTGGGGGGCTGGGAGGGAGCTGAAAATACACATTTGGTATCAAAAATAAACACTTGGGGATGGCAGGAAGATCCCCTCCACATCCCTTCCTTCCCACCACCCACCCACCCACCCATCCACCTACCCACAAGATGTAGGAAGAGATGATTCCCTCTCCCCTATTGAAAAGCCCCATTTAAAAATAGATTATACTATCAAAATGGCAGAGGGTAGGAGAAAGAGAGACCTGGAGTACTGGCTGGAGGGGGCCCCCCAGACGGGGACCACTACCCCCAAAAACCCTCCATTAGGAGGTAACAGGCAGGCCCCCACGGAATTTGGCAGACAAAGGAATGGCTTCTTAGGGGGAAGAACAACAAAAGGGGTATTCCTCCCTAGCCAAAAGGTTACTTGAGAAAAGGACAAGCTGACTGAGAAAAAGTTTGGGGAGGTAGCAATTTCTATTTCAACAGTGATTCTTCCTTGGCTACAACTCCCAAACCATTAAATCGTACAATTTGTCCCTGGACCCTTAGTTATGGCCAGGAATAGTAAAACAAAACAAACTAGCTCGTTTACCCACATCCCAAAAATGGAGACAGGGCTCCCTTAACTCCCCAAGGGCAGGTTGAGAAATAAAGAAAGATCCTTCTCAAGCCGGACCCCGATTGTCATATACTGGAGGAAAAAGTGGGGAGGAGATGGGGGTGATGTCTTAACCACCCTCCTAAGGATTGGGCCAGATTCTTCCCAGTGGCCTTCAAAAAATAAATAAACCGTCCCTACCACTGAAGTAGGAGACGTGTAAGGGCGGCCATTGGGAAACTGGCAAAGAAGAAAGAAGTTGTGTTTTGGGTGGAGTTAGTGAGAGATCCTTTTTCCCAGGAATCCCCACCCCACCACAACCAGAGCATAAGTCTATCAGTTGAACTATGTTTCTCCTTGAGATGGCTGGCTGGAGAGAAGTTCAGGGGCATGGATGGATGGACTCCAGAAGGAGGATGGTGGTAGTGGTGGTGGTAGTCATGGCTTCTGGGGCCCTGGGGAGAGCACCACGGGGGTTGAGAGGCCATCCACGCTGATGGAAGGGATGTGCACCTGTGCGCTGCCACTGGATGGAAACTGGGGGCAGAAACAAGGAGAGGTCATGAATGGGAATGATGTTAGTGTCTCACCCGTCCCAAGATAAGGGGAGGGAATCCTACCTGGAAGGAGAGCTTGGCTGGACTACGGGGTGCAATTGGACTCAGGGTGCTCCAGAAGTGAATGCTGGGGGGCAGCGAGCTGGGTGTCAGCAGCACCGGGGTCTGTGGGGAAGATGGAAGGAACCTGCTTTCTGCCCTTGCACACATACTCCCTTCAGACTTCCAAGGTCACTCCTCCTAGGTTCATAGACCTAGGGTGTAACTTGGGCCACGCCCATGACAATCTCTTATATTCTACAAAGACAGCGCCTTTTAACTCCAAAGAGGCCAAGTAACATCCTGTTACTGAGATGTCACTGGGCAAGCCCACCCACCATATCTTATCCATGCACTTCTCTCAAGCCTAAATGACTATCAGAAGAGCTCATGCACAACTTCTCATTCTTAGATTCCACCTATACACCTCACTGGGAAACACTATGCAAATACCAGTCCAAATATGCCCCGCAGTTTGTTTCAGCTATGGCCTACCCAGCACTTCAAACGGAAAGTCTCCGGAGCTCAGTACCGATCCAAACTCCTCAGACCCGATCGTCCTAAGTCCCATTGCGCCAACCCAAGACTCAGGGCAGCTAATCACACTCTCAACTCCTCTACCTCCTATGGGTCACTTGCCACGTGCCAATTCCACCGGGCCAAGTTGCCAGCCCCGCCCCTCGACAGGCACTCACCAATGTATGCGTGGGTAGCAAGGATGGCGTCAGCGCCGGCCCCGGAGCCTGCAAACCGGAGCCCGTTCCTGATCCTGGAGTTCGCTCAGGTCCCGGCCCAACGAGCAGGCTTGGGCTAAGTGGAAGTTCCAGGTCCCGAGGCTTCCGGCCTTTTTGTGGCTGGGCGATCTCAGTACTGGAGGCTGCGAGGCCACCCACCTGCGCTGTATTCTCCATCAGGACAGCTGGGAGCCTAGCCAGCAGACCCTCCGAGGGAGGGACTTCCGGCTCAGCTTTAACAGCTTCCAGACCGAACCCCACCTCCCTTGTAGCGTCCAACTCTTCCTTAGGCCCCTCCACTTTCACTTCCGGGGGCAGTGGCCGGCCCAAACCTGGCTCCAGATTCAATTCTTCTGATTTCTCGTTTGGGACCTCGGGTGGGGTCAAGATGACCTTGGAGAGGGTGGGCACAAAGGAGATATGTAAGGACTGTTGGTGTGGAAAACCTTTTTCCTGTGGACCACCCTTTGACATCCCTAGGAAGACAGATTTGGTACTGGGGCCAAGGAAGTACACAGGAACATGTCCTCCCAACAGGACATGGGGCTTCTTCACAGAAGTGGAGCGTCCTCTGGAACAGAGAACCTGGGTGAGACAACTTGATGGGGATGCAACTCTAGATGATACCACCCTAGGTCCTCATAATAGTGGTTCTCAAAAATTCACTTTACAGACCAGTAGTGTCTGCTTTATTTGGAAACTCATTGAAAATGCAAAATTAGGGGCTCCTCTCCATACCCATATTAATCAGAAACTTTGGAAGTGGGCCCCAGAAATGTGTACCTTAAGTCATCTAGGTGATTCTGATGAGTCTAAAGCATAAGAACTAGTGCATTAGCAAACATGGCCATGTTAAGCACTAAGTGTACCACAAATAACTCCCCTCCCCTTCTAACTCCTGTGTCCCTCCTCCCACCATTATGTCCATTAGCAGGACATCTGGATCTATTCTACCAGTCCTGTGCCTCATTTTGGAATTATTCATTCCTCCTCTAAATTTCCAAATTCCAGTACTTACCTGCAGGGGTAGGCCAGCCTCTTCTGTCTCCAAGCAGGCCTCCAGGGGGTTTGGACTGGTGCTCCTGCTCCCTGAGGGGGGAGCTGATGCTCCTCCAGGAGTAGTGTTGGGGAGCACTGAGGAAGGCCGAGGATGAGGGAGTGGCTGTGGCTGCAGGGACTGGATTGTGAAGGTAGAATAGAGGCCCGAGCGCATGTACTCATTCCGGCTGCTGCGTGCTAAACCACCTGGGCCTGCCATTCCTGTGCCCTTGGGTGTTCCTGGCTTTCCAGTGGCAGTGTCTCCAGAGGCCACATGGACAGCAGTAGGGGTCATTGCCACAGTCGAGGATACAGATACCTCAGGCTGGGGAGGGCAGTCCTCAGTGGAGCACCCAGCAACTTCTGGGTAGGACACAAACTTGTAGACAAACTTCTGGCCACTCACCTTGCGGATGATATTCTGGGAAAAGAAGAGAAGGATGGAGGGAGAGTGTTGAGGGGTGTTTCTCCTTTCTTCCCACTCGCTCCCATTTGATTCATCTCTTCCTAGACTTGTGGACTCCTCCCATCCCTCCATCTATGCCTCCCTTTCTTTCCTGAGTTCCTCCAGTTTTTCCTCATCCTTATGTCCCCCTCAACAATTCTTTTTTAAGTCTCTTTCCCATCTATCTCCCTTCAGGTCTTCTGTATTTCATCTCCATCTGTCCGACTCCTCTTACCCCACTGGCCCCACTTTGGGACTGATTTGGGGGGCGGGGAGGAGGTTAAGTGAGGACCAAGGACCTGGGGTTAGCAGGGCCAGGTTTTAAGAGTGGTTGCCAGGATAGTTTGGGAAATTAGCTAGTACAATCGAAAAATCAGGCAACTAATAATGTTGGAAGAAGCTAAATTAGTATAGAATAAGGAAATAAATTACTCGTAGAGAGGATTTTTTTTGTGTGTATATGTGTGTGGACCAGTGTGCCACAGCATGCGTGTGGAGAACAGAGGTCAGAGAACAACTTGCAGGAGTGGGCTCTCTCCTTCCACCATATTGCGTCCTGGGGACTGAACTAAGGTTGTTTGGCTTGGCAGTAAGCACCTTGATATCACTGGCCTGATAACAGAGGATTTTTTGAAGTTAGCCTGGAACTTGCTATATAGACAAGGCTGGTCTCCAACTCGCAGTGATCCAGAGTGCTGGGATTAAAGGTGTGTGCCACCACTCCTGACTGTAATGTCTCATTATTAATACTATTATGAAGATTTAAGATAAAGCACTAAAAAAATGGAACAACTGACAGTAACTACAGAACATTAGATACTGGTGCAAACACAGGGAGGAGTATCTCAAGGCTTGCTTGGCTGGGTCAGAGAGCATGCTTGGGAGGCTCTTAGGACATATCTGGTCTGGAGGATTGCAGGGATGTCCTGTTCTCAAAGGGCAGAAAGTGGTAGCTTCATTGATACTGTTTTGGAAGTTTGAACTAAAAGAATAACATATGAAAATAAAATATATGCCATAAATTACTAAGGATTCAAAACACAGGTTACAGCTATTGGAGGGGGTAAAGAATCTAGGGGCACTAAGCATTCTGCTGAAGGTCTTAATACTGGCCAAGTGTTTCAGAGGGTAGCCTTGTGTTCTTCAGTAGAGGAATAAAAAGGAATACTTATTAATATTATTTTGATGGCTTACACTGAGGAAATACCAAATAAATATTTTTGTTTTTTTTTCCTTTTTGTCTTTTTCAGACAGGGTCTCCCTGTAGCCTCAGCTGTCCTGGAACTCACTATGTAGACCAGGGTGGCCTTGAACTCACAGAGATCCACCTGCCTCTGCCTCCTGAGTGCTGGAATTAGAGGTATGTGCCACCACACCCACCCTAAAATAATATAAATATTTTCATATATAAATATTGGGGGAGGAGAAATACAGTGCAAATCTGGAAGTCTGAGAGGATAGGATAGGATAAAGAAAATCTAAAATTTTAGCTGCAGGAGTAAGATGATGAAATAAAACAACTGATACAGATATTGAGGAGGAATGGTACTATTGAAGGAATCTAAGAGGAGGAACTGGTACTACACATGCTGTTCTGGAACATTTAGCTAAAGCCACACTCAGAAATAACCCCAGCACTTGGGAGACTTGAGAGAAGAGGATTACAAGTTTGAGGCCAGCCTGGGCTATACAGAGAGACCCTGCCTCAAAAATAAAAATAAAATAAGACAAGAAAATCACTGATGAAAGATGTTGGGGGTTCCTGAAAATGAAGTAATGAAAGTTCCTATTATACTGTCGGCATGATTTTGCATTCAGGAATAAGAATATATAGAATTATTATTTCCCAGAATAATATTATTATTCTGTTAGAATAAGGTACAAAACTGAGACAGTATCACTTGTGTGTGTGTGTGTGTGTGTGTGTGTGTGTGTGTGTGTGTGTGTGTGTGTGTGTGGTGGGCAGATCTTGAAAATGGAGTGAGGAGAAGTCGGTATTAATACTATCTTAAAGGGTTTAGCCAGGCAGTAAGATAAGAATATCTTAAAGGGTTTAGCCAGGCAGTAAGATAAGAAAATAAAACAACTGAGTTCAATGTTCAAAGGACCACCATTGATCTGAGGATACTAGAGGATAGGTAAGAAATGGTAAATTTTAATACTGTTCTCAAAGTTATAGGTATAGTAATTGATACAACAAAGTGAAATTTCTAGGCCAAAAATGTAATCCTAGCACCTGGAAGGTAGAGGTAGGAAGACAGTGAATTTAGCATCAGCCTAGGCTACATAGTAAGTTCCAAACTAGTCTGGGCTACACTGTGAGACCTTGCTTCAATAGAAAAGGGAAAAAGAGAAAGAAAAGAGGGAATTTTTCTGATATCCAGTTCAGGGAGCGGTGGAGGGAAGGTGTTCCTGGACTCAAAATGCCATACCTTGTCATAGTAGTACCGCAGGGCCCGGCTGAGCTTGTCGTAATTCATGTTGGTCTTGTTCTTGCGCAGCCCCCACAGCCGGGCCACTTCTTCTGCATCCACCAACTTGAACTCACCACCATCCCGTGAGGTCCAGGAGATGATGTGGCCATTACCTTGTTCTCGCAGCAGCTGCAGCAGAAACTGCCACAGTGTCACAGATGGGTCCATCGCTGGGGGAGTGCTCACGCCATCCCAGTACTATCTGGAGGACAGATTATACAGAAGTGAAAGGCTGTGGACAGAGGAAGAGGATAGCAATATGATTATTTTCTTGTCACCTTGCCTCCACCTGTCTTTAAGCCCCACCATTATCTTAAACAAGCTTCTAAACTCCTTGTCTAGCTTTGGATGTCCCTTGTATTTTGCATGTCATATGTGAATTTTTAAAAATGTATGTGTATGTGTGTTTATGTGCATGTGTATGCAGGTGTCCATGGAAGCCAGAAGAGGGCATCAGATCCCCTGGAGCTGGAGTATAGGCAGCAGCCTGTGAGCAGCCTGATAGGTGCTGGGAACCAAATCCCAGTCCTCTGCAAGAGCAGCAATTGGTCTCTTAATCACCGAACCATCACTTTAGTCCTGACAAGTGTGAATCTTTAGGGACTGGAGGAAGAAAGGATAATACCACCTGGGTCCCAAAGATTTCCATATCCTAATTCTTAGAATCTGTGACTATGTTTTTTTTTTAAAAAATATTTTATTTATTATTTTTATTTTATGTGTATGAGTGCATTGCCTGCATGTAGGTAAGTGCACCTATGTCATGCAATGCTCGAGGAGGTTAGAAGAGGCTGTTGGATCCCCTGGAACCGGAGTTATGGACAGCTGTTAGCTGCCATATGGGTGCTGGGATTCGAACCCAGGTCTTCCGCAAGAACAACCAATGTTCTTAATTGCTGAGCCATCTCTCCAGCCTGTATATATTATAGCAAAAAGGAACTCTGAGATGAAACTAAGGTTACAGACCTTAAAATAGTGTGACTGTTCTCATTTATTTGAGTGAGCACAATCTAAACATATGAGCTCTTTAAAGCAGAAAAAGGGGGCTGAAAGAGAGCTTAGAGATGGATTGCCACAAGAGGCAGGAGATTCCAAGTATCAGAGGAACTTTCCCTTCCATTCCTGACTTTGAAAATGAAGGAAAGAAGCTCCAAGCCAAGGAATTTGGGCAGTCTCACAAAGCGAGAACCACCCTTAGCTGACAGCCAGTAAAGATGCAGGAACCTCAGTATTACAACTCAAGGGACTGAATTCTGCCAGCAACCTGAAGAGAAGGAAATGATTCTTCTCTGAGTCTTTAGAAAGGACTATAGCCCTGCCAACATCTTAATTTTAGCATGCTGAGACCAGCATTGGATTTCTGAGCCACAGAACTGTCAAGATAATAAATGTGTGAAGGGTCTGGAGATGACTCAGTTGTTATCAGCTCACACTGCTCTTTCAGAGGACCAAGTTTGGTTCCTAGAACCCACATCAAGCAGCTCACAACCACCTGTTACTCCAGCTCCAGGGGATCCAATGTTCTCTTCTGGCCTCTGTGGGCAACCCCCACCCCCCCACATGACAGACACATGGAAATCCAGAAATACACATAAAAAATAAATGTGTGAGCTTTTTTTTGAGACAGGGTCTTGCTATGTAGCCCAGCCTGGTCTTCAACTTCTGCTTCAGACTCTTGAGTAATGGGATTACAGGTGTGCACCACCACACTTAGGCAAATGTGTTACTTTACGGAGATTTAGTTAGAAATAATTACAGCAGGACAAGAAAACTAGTGAAATGCCTTAACCCTTATAATTGGTATCTTTTACAACATGAAGTTTTTCAGGAGGTGCCTTTTGCCAGCCCCTTGCAAATGCTGGTCACTGTACACTGGGCTCCCTTACTCTACTGAGTAGTTTTTCAAGTCTCTGTCCAAAGGTCCTTTGCTTTATGAAGCTTTCCTGAATCTGAATGTCTACTCTTTTCTGTCCCTTGACACTTTACTTCTCTGGCCTGTGACTATTCCTGTATGGCATGGGTTTTTAAAAAACATTTTAATGAGCATATATTAAGTAATACATGATAATGGGCTTCACTGTGACATTTTCATACATACATAACATGTATTTTCATCATATTCACCCCCATTATACTCCCTTGTTCCCCTCCCCACTAATTGCCTTCCTGTTCCCAACTAGCCTCCCTTCCACTTTTCTGTGACCAAATGAGTTTTAGTAGCGTAGCTTACAGTAGGGTGTGTGTGATGGTTTGTTTATAGGAGCTATACCACTGAAGAAACTGTCATCCCTTTCCTATTAACCATTAAAGGCCTATAGATCCTCAGGGAGGGGTAGGGCCCCATGAGCCCTTCTTGGTTTATTTTTGTTGTTTTGTGACAGGGTCTTGTTATATAATCCAAGCTATCCTCATGCACTATGTAGCCCAGACTGGCCTCAAACTCATGAACCTACTGCCTCCATCTCCTGAGTGCTGGGACTACACATGTACCAACATCCATGGCTTCTTCTTTTTCCAGTGCCAGAGATGAAGTCCAGAGCTGTATGCATGTCAAGCACATGCTTTCCTACAGAGCTTCACCCTAAGCCTTTCCTTCTCAAATATATCATTAATAACTATGTAGTGAATACTCAATATAAGTTAGGCACTGCTCTAAGCAGAAAGTCAATCACCCAGGCTCTCATGCTAGACTTCCAGAGTTTGAATCCCAGGTCTGTCAGTTACTAGCTGTGTGACCCTGTGCATATTCTTTAACCTCTTTGTAACTCAAATTTTCTCACCCGTGAAACAAGGATAGTGGCAATATAAAATAAGAATTATTACCATTATTCTGGTGTGGATTAACTATAACATACTTGGGATATAAGGTCTAAATAAATATTTTCTGGTTTGTTCATAAATCCTTTTTCTGCTATCCCTAAACCCCAAATGCTTTAAAAACAGAAGCTTCTTTGTAGCAAAACCTGATTTTTAAAAAATTTTATTCATTCATTTTATGTGTATGAGTGTATTGCCTGCACGTATGTAAGGGCACCCTGTTGTGCAATGACCGTGGAGGTCAGAAGGCATCAGATTCCCTGGAACTGGAGCTATGAATGGTTGTTAGCCACTATGTGGGTGCTGGGAATCAAACCTGGGTTCTCTGTAACAGCAGTCAAGACAGTGCTCTTAACCACTGAGCCATCTCTCCAGCCCCATAAAACCTCATTTGAAAGCAAGCAAGGCCCATTCTGCTTTGTACTGATCATCACTTAGTGTGGATGTTCATACATTCTGCTGTAGAAATCTGAAAGCAGCTGCTGACAGAGCTGGCTCAGGGTGTTATGTAACATATCATATGTGTACAATGCCACCTTCTAAAATCTGAAAAATTCACAATTCTGAAATACATCTGGCCTCTGGGGTTTTAGATAAGGGCATGGGCTGTTATTTTTATAGGCATTGACTCATTTATCCTTAATCTCAACTCTGGAAAGTAGGCATTTTTTTTCCTTTTGGAAAGGAGGTATTCTTTCTTTGTTTTGGTTTGTTCTTTGATACAGGGTCTCATTGTGTAGCCCTGGCTGACCTGGAACTCTCTTCCAGGCTGGTCTTGAATTATTAGAAATCTGATGGCCTCTGCCTCCAGAGTGCTGGGATTAAAGGTGTGTACCATCATGTCTGGCCAGAAAGGAGGTATTCTTATCATAGTGGCTAATTTTTACAAGAGACAGCTGAGGCACAAGATGGCCAAGTGACTTTACCATGCCACATTGCTGTAAGTGACAAGGTCTGCATTTGGACCAGGCATCATATTCCAGGGGTCTAATTTTGTTGTTTTTTTAGAGACAGAGTCTCACACAGCCCAGGCTAGCCTCAAACTTTCCATGTAACAGAATGACTTGACCTCCTGATCCTCCTATATCTACCTTCCAAGTGTTGATATTACAGGCATGTGTCTCCATGTTCAGCTGCAGAGGTCTAAGTTTTTAACCACTAGGTTAAAAACACTACCTCAACTGACTGCTCCTCAGCATCCCCTCAGAGAAAGGATCCTCCCTGTCACCCCATCACTGCTCTTCCAAACAAGCAAATTAGAATTGACCCTGAACCTTCTGGTCCTTGTGAGGATGAGTCTCGGTCAGTCAACCATCCACCTGGCTGGGATTGCTAGATTAAATCTGCAATTTATAGCTTTGCTCTTTAATCTGCAATAAAATAACAATATGATCCTATGAGCTAGTTCAGAGTTCATTCAGCAAGCAGTGTTAGGCAGCTGTCCAAATCAGTGCCAAGGAGTGGCAGCCAGAGTCCCCTCCTCAGAGCCCTGACTGAATTATTTTGAAGGCTGGCTTCTTTCAGAGGCTAAGAGTCAAGTGTGACTCCTAGTGGTGAAGATAGCCAATTTCATCACCTTCTCTGGGCTACAGCTCTACTAGCCTTTCAGGCCCTACCAGAGTTTAATATCCCTTCTCTCACTTGACCCCTAAAAAGAGTCCTAGTCATCTGTTTGTCCAGGAAGATTTTTCTTCCACTCTTCATCTCATTGACTGAGTAAGCACTCACCAGATACCTCCAAATAGTTGAGGACAGACAGACAGGAGTCCCTGCATGCTAGGAGAATTCATGTTCATGGGGCAGACAGAAAAGAAATGAGGTGACAAGCCAAAACTATGGCAGGGAGTGATGAGGGCTAAGAGGTCACCATGCTCAGCAGGAAAGAGCTGTTCTTTCCAAGCACAGTCAGGGAGGGTGGGTGCTAAGTAAGAAGGTGATATTTGAGTCAAGAGCTAAGGGAGGTGAAGACCCAGGGGACAGTCCAAGTTGAAGGTCTGAAGCTGGAGTGCCAGCAGGCACAGACTGGCTTGGTGGTTAACAGGGAGTGGAGAACAGAGTGGCACTGGGGGCCAGACTGAATGAGGCTTTTTCATGTTCTGTCAGGACCTGGATTCTAGGTGAGACACAGGGTTGGGAAAAGATGGGGGGACAATGATGTGACTTAGATCTTAAGACAGGGGTACAAAGGACAGCTGAGGGAAGAGGGTACCATCTTGTAAGTGACAATGGATGGTGGCAGCAGTGGAAGTGCTAAGAAGTGGATTCTGGCCAAACTTTAAAGACAGCACAGATTTGCTGAGTGCATGGGCATAGGGGTGAGAGAAGAGGCAACTGTGATTCTAGGTTGTGGCCTGATCACCTGGAAGGGTGGTGATGTGATTAACAGAGGTGGGATAGAGTAGGATTTTAGGGGACATCAGGAGGCCAGTTTGAGAGATGGCCAATGAAGGCTTTGTTAGATACCTATTGGTATGCTATAAATATTAACTTTTAAAAAACCCAGAAACCAGGGCTGAGGATATAGCTCAGTTGGTAGTGCTTGTCTTCCAACCACAAGGCCTTGGGTTCGATCCTCAACACCTTCTCCCAAGGTTATGTAGCCTTCACAGTAAATTTTGTTGTTTCTTTTCCTGAGACAGGTTCTATGTAGCCCAGGCTGGCTTCAAACTAATGATCTTTCTGCCTCGGTCTCCTGAGCGATGGAATTACAGGCCTGTACCACCATGCCCAGCTCTGCTCACTGTTTTATTTAATCTTCAGAACTGCACTAAAAGGTAGGTTGTTATTATTTCCCCCATTTTCCAGACGACTCAATAGCAGTAAGTAACTTGCCTAAGGTCATACCACTGGAAGCCCAGAATCCAAACCCAGGTAGTTAGGCTCCAGCCAGGTTTCCTAGGCAAGACCATAGAGTGACAAGGATGTTAGTAGGGCAGGCTTACAAGAGGAAGTGACATTTGACCTGATGGAGGGGAGGTAGCAATCCATGTTTGTGTCTACAAGAAAGGTAATTTTGACAGAGGGAACAGTATCCACAAAAGCTCCAAGGTGGCTACCCTGAGGTACCCACATTTATAGGAGAATGTCCACTTCTGAGGCACGTGATGTTCTCTGCCAGGAGGGTCATTTCCTCCTTGGGCTCACTGTATTGCACCATCATCAAGTTCTAGTACTCCCAGGTAGAATTAATTTTTCCTTTGGATGATCTAATGCAAGGAATAACTTGTTTGTCCTTGTAAATCTGTTCTCTCCTGGTCTTTAGCCTCACACTCCTCTGCCCTGTACTGTCCGTGTGGCTTTGAGCAAGTTGCTCGACTATGCCTGGTTGAACATCTGTAAAATAGGGATATTTTACTCTCAAACTCAAAAAGAATGAAAAAAGATATGCCTACTCTCAAAGGCTTTTATGAGGTTTCAATGTGTCAATATACATAAAGGACTTAGAAAAGCATCTCTGGCAAATAGTAGACACTTAACAGATGTTCATCCTTAGTTCATGTGTCCTCCCTTCTCCCTCCCTTCCCCCTCCCCTTTCCTTAGGCCTCTGTCATCTGGCACTCATTACTTCTATGACTTTATCCTCTACCCCTCTTTCAACTCTTCAGTTACACTGGCCTTTGAACATGGCAGGCACAGTCCCACTTCAGGGTCTTTGCACTGAGTGTTCTGTCTGGTACGCTCTTCCACTTACACATTCTGGCTTCCTCCCTCTTTTCCTTCAGGCCTTAATTCATGAATCACCTTTCCAAGTGTGGCCTGCTTTGTGCCTAAGATTTCAACCACATTGGTACTCTATTCCCATATGCCCTGCTTCATCTTGTCTCCTTAGCACTTGTCTAACACACTATCTAATTTTACTTATTTATTTTATTTGTGTAGTCATTCTCCCTTGCTTTTAATAAATGCCTGCTTTGTAGGGGCAATGATTTCTGGCTGTTTTGCTCCTTCATATCTCCAGCACGTAGAATGAACGCCTGGTATTTGCTAGGTGTTTGGTAAATATATTTGTGAATATTTAAAAAGTTTCAACTAATATCTTTTTTTTTGTTTGTTTTTGGTCTTTTTGACACAGGGTCTCCCTGTAGCTCCAGCTGGCCTGGCACTTGATATGTAGACCAGGCTAGCCTTGATCTCACAGAGATCTGTCTGCCTCTGCCTCCTAAGTGCTGGGACTAAAGGCATGTGCTATCACACCTGGCCTGAAATAACATCTTTTTAAAAAGATTTACTTTTATTTAAGCTATATGAGTGTTTTTCTTGCATGTATATTTGTGTACTATGTGCATGCCTGGTCAGTAGAGGCCCAAAGAAGGTGCCAGATCCCCTGGAACTAGAGTTATGGATGGTTGCTAGCCACCATGTGGGTGCTGGGAACTGAACCGGGGTCCTCTGCAAGAGCAGCCAACACTCCTAACCACTGAGCCATCTTTCTAGCCCTCAACTAACATCATAATTAGCTCTTACATCCCTCCCACTTCTCCTCCTCTTCCCCCTTCCTTCTTCCCGCCATAGTGATGTCTGTCATAAAATTTCTGATTTCATTTTTAAGACAGGGTCATAGCCCCAGCTGGCCTGAAACTCACTATGGAGCCCAGGCTAGCCTTGAACTCTTGGCAGTTTTCCATCCCTTAGCCTCTCATGGTGGAATTACAAAAGTGTGAACCATCAGGCCCAGCCTATCTAATGTTTTTCCATTTATTTATGCAATAAATTCTTCCTGAGCACCTACTGTATATGAGGTGTATTTTTAGATGAAGACAGAGCACCAAATAGGCAGACAGAACCTGTAAGTACTCATGGGACCTCCACTCTAATGGGGAGAAACAGGCAATATACCAACTGTACTGTGTGTCAAACAGTGACAGAGGGCAAAGGGACAAAGCAAGCAGGAAAGAAGCCTAAAACCCACTGGATGTGCAAGAGCAGATGGAGACTTTTTTTTCACAAACAGCAACCTTTTAAACATTTTTTATACATGTGCCTTTAAACGGTATATTCCAAGCACCACAGTGTGACAAACACAAGCTTTACTGAAATAACACTATCCAGATGCAACAAAATGAAAGCACTCTTAGAAACATTTTTTTCTATCTTTATAGAGAATATTCCATACATCACATTTCTGTGAACACATCCTTTTTATAAAATTACATTCACCTTATTCACAAATCAACCCACCCTCTTGGAAACATCTTTATCATGCTCCCTGCACAGTGTGGTGAACACATTCTTCAGGGTAGGGCATTTGAACAGGGCCTTGGAGGGTACCATGCAGAGATGTGGGAGTAGTGTTAAGGCAGAAAGAACAGCCAATGCAAAGGCCCTGAGACTGGCCTATACCTATTGTTTTTGAGAAGCAGTGAGGGAGAGGCCAGTGTGGTTGAAGCACAGGTCTAGGGTGGAGAGTAAGGGAGGTAAGGTCAGAGAGGTGACCTGTTTCATTAACTCACACATATTTTTCCTTTACATTTTCTATTTAGAACTCCCCCATTTTTAGCAATAAGGAAACAGGTGCAGGGACAAAGAGGTTAAGTCATTCATATGAAGTTGCACCACTGCTGGGACTAGGGATGGATGGGTCCTGAGACCAGGTGTGGAATGGAGACAGCTGAACTGCCAGAGAGAACAGCAGAAATGAAAGCCTAGAGATGGGAACCAATTTGATTTTTAAGGAATGTGCCTTCATGTGGGTTGCAATGAGATGACAGAAGGGCACCTCAAAAATGTTCCTGTGCTCTGAGTTGTTACTGTACCACCTCTGAGCAAGGTATTTAACCTTCCTATGCCCCAGTTTTCTAAGTTACCTGCCTCATAGGGTTGTGATGAGGATTAAGTGAGCTAGTGAATATAAAACATTCTTCCTGGTATAGAACAAGTGTTCAATAAAGGTTAGTTACGATTATCATTAACATCAGTACCACTACTGTATTTTTGAGCTGCAGCAAGGCAAAATGTCTGGTGGTTAAGGGTGCTGATAAGGGAGCATCTCTACAGTAAAAGGCCCTGGGTTCAATAAGTACATAGGCTGATCTAAGAGATGGGAGCAGGGAAGATTAATACGTGGAGAGTATGAGGGAAATAAAAATACAAGGCTTACCTTTCTTAGGGAGGGATTGCAAGCACTGGATTCAGAAGGATATGGGGTGTGTGAATGCAATCACTGGGGGAGAAGGCCACTGAACAGACCTATTACAAAAAGAGGGAGACATGGTTTAAGTTTACTGGCTTCTTTACAACAGCAGAAAGGAAAAGCCATCACCTAATGATTAAAATGAGACAAGGCCATGGGCTGGGCTACTGAAAATGACAAAATATAAAGTAGTAAGCTGGCCCACTGTTAAAAGAGTGCAGCCCAAAGACTGGAGTCTATAATAAGGGAGAAAAGTTAGGGTAGTGGACTGATAACTGTAAGGTGTGAAATTCAGTGGGCCTATAACTGTAAGGTGTGAAATTCGGTTGGATTTATGTTACACAGGCATGGAGTTGTGTGAGGGGCATGGCACCACCGATTGATTCACAATAATAAACTTTGAAGGGTGCAATAAACAAGGACACAGATGGGTCCTCCGAAAGTTGAGGCTAGGAGAAATCCAAGCACTTAGACTCACCTACTAAGGGGGTTGCACAATGGCCACAGACTAGCTCCCAGTAAGTAGGGGGTTGGAGGGCTTAGGCAAGACCACAGATGAGTCCATTAAGTTAGGGTGGGGACCAATCCATTATACAGAGGCAACGCGAGGTTAGGCCACGGTAAGATCCACAGTAAGGGATGAAAGGAGGGAACAACTCTCTCTCTCTCTCTCTCTCTCTCTCTCTCTCCCTCCCCTCCCCCCCCCCACGCCACCAGCCGTGCTGGTGGCAGTGGAGTTGAACACCGGCAGGCCATCGGCCAAGCCACATCCCCTGCGCGGGGGCGGGAAGGATACGCGGGGTCACAAACAGGGCCCCCGCACCCTGCTAGCCTGAGGCTCACCTGCGTGTGGTGCGGCGGCGATGTTGGCAGCTCCGGGGGGCGGGGGCTCCATATGCAGCCCCACCGCCCCCCAGGCCCAGGTTCCCAGGCGGTGGTGACGGTGGCGGCAGCGGTGGTAGCACCTAGAAGCCGCCCCTGCCTGCGTTTCCCCACCGTTCACGTGGGTCCTTGGAGGAGGAGCCCAGTGCCCTGCCGCTCGCTGATTGGTCAAAGCGCCAAAGCTAGCCGGCAAAGCTTGGGAGGGGGGGCTGAGGGGGCGGGTTCTACCTCATAGAGATATGCCACGATTGGCTCAAAGGGGATTGATGGACCGACCACGGCTGGCCGACTGAATCTGGAGAGGCGTAGGGCCGCAGGGTTGCTTCACGCTGATTGGCTCAGGGATGACTGATAGACTGGGCAAGTGCCAGGTTTGGGGGGAGGGCCCTATTCACACTGATTGGCCTAAATGAGATTGATGGCAGACAGCCTCCGAGCTTGGGAGGGGTGGATGGGCCCTGTTTGCAGCCGATTGGCAGAGATTCCGAGACAGCTGCCAAAACACTGAAATAGGCGGTGCTGCACGCCAAGCCGCTCAGCGGAAACAGGACTTATTTAGAACCGGTGGGGCAAGGCTCTATGTAGGCTGGTAGGGTAACGCTATGGTAATTAGCTAGGCAAGACCAATTTAGAATTCAGCAGAGGTAGGAGGACTGAATGGCTGCCAGATACGCAAGGGAGTTGAGCGGCGTGGCGGAAGTTAACTGTCTACAAGAAAGGCTGGGTCAAACTGCAGCCAGAGTTAAGAGGGTGGAACTTGGCTCTTATCTAAGACTGGGCTCAAATCTAAGTTGTAGGGGCTGCAACAGGAAGGGTAGGACCTGTGCCTATTGGTGGAAGCTGCAACTATTTAGAAAGGGGAGACAAATCAAAGGTTGGGTAGTAGTGTCATTTAGGGCAACTGAAGGATCACTGAGGTATGGGAGAGAGAAACCAGTCCCAGAAGTAAAAGGCCATGGAACAAATTACTTTGGATAGGTATTTTTGTTTTGAGACAGGGAAACAGGGTCTATGTAACCCAGGCTGACCTGGTACTCAAACTTGGTAAAGTAGCTCAGGATTATTTTAAATGTCTGACTCTCCTGCCTCTACCTGAGTGATGGGTTTACAGGTATGCAATACCACACCAGTGTATGTATGTAGTGCTGGCGATTAAACTCAGGGCTTCCTGCATGCTAGACAAGCACTCTACTAATTAAGTTACAAGCCCAGCCCATGAACCAGCCTATTTTTATGGTAATGCAAAAGAAAGTATCCCAGAAAAGGAGTTAAAGTGTGAGGTGGGGGCTGAGGTTGACAAGGTGACAGAAAAGGACAAAGCATGAAGTCAAGTGGCAAGTACTGCAGCGCCACAAGTTGGAGGCAGGACTTCTAGGGTGATCTAGAGGTTCTATAGAGAGAATGACAGAAAAAGGGCATTTTGACAATCAGTGGAGGTTAGTGGAAAAAGAAGGGCCATGTGACTCCAAGGCATTCAGGCTCTTTAATATAGGAGAATGGGAAGAAGCAGTCAATGGAGAGATGGCTCTGGGAAATTCTGCAGGCCTTGTAGTTCTCTAAGCCCCTGCAAAAAGGACAGAAAAGACTGAACAGAGGGTCTAGCTCGTGCCCCAGGTTTGCTGTTTCCCCCTCCCTTGGTTCTAGTTTAAAAAAAAGATAGTTGCCCCCCCCCTCAGGCTTCCTCCTATCTTCAGGTCACCACCCTAAAGAACATCTGGAGTGGAGTGAGCTGCTCTCACCTCTAGCATCATGTGGATATGAGCCTTGATATTCATGGAGTCCTTGGTGAGGCTGTCACTGAGCCTGGAAAAAGAACAAAAAAGGGAAAAATAGGCCCCACTTAGGATTATGAGGATGACTCTTCCTCATCACTTTAAGAAATGCTTGTATCCTCCAATGACTTCCACTTGGCCACCATTTGGAATTTATTGATTTAAAGATTTTGGGGAATCAGTCAGTGAGATGTTTCAGTGGGTAAAGGCCTAACAACTTGAGTTCAATCCCCAGGACCCACATGCTGGAAGGAGAGAACCAACTCCCACAAATTGTCCTCTGACCTCCACATGTGCACATAAATATGTAATAAAATTTTCTTAAAGAAGATTGAGGGGAAGGAGGAGAGGAAGATATGGAGAAGAGGACAAGGCATAAAAAACTGAGTAGACTGAGATGCCTGAAACCACTCTAGCTCTGGACTGTTGAGTTATATAAATCAGTCAACTCCTTTTGTCCATGGTTGGCTGGATCAGGTCCCATCCAAGAGGATCCTCATGAATACAATAGTTTAAAAAATGAATACAGTGGATCAAGGAAGGCCTTTCTGAGGAATAAAAAAGGAGAAAAAACTGAAGCAATACAAAACTCAAGAGGCAGGAAGGAGCTTTTTGAGAAGCAGTCAGAAGTCAGTGTGTTAGAAATTAAGTGGGTGGTGAAGGAATATGGTATAAAGGTAATGTCCAAGCAGTAGGAAGGGGCTAGACCATACAGGGTCCTGATAGTATGACAGAGAAGGCCAGTTTTATTGTGCTGAGCTATCTGGTAATATAAGAGTCAGTTTGAGGGGTAAATGAAACTAAATGCTATATGAAAAATAGGGCAACAGGACTGGATATTAAGTTGGAAAAAACAGTATGAACTCATCAATATTTATATTTATATCAATATTTATATTGTCAGTCATCTTTAAAAATTACCTCTATCTTCAAAAATCTATTTCGGTGTTCAGTAAGTACTATATTTCACAGACCCCAGACTGAACTTCAGCTCTTCTCTCCCAATCTACTCTACCATTTCATAGAGGTAACTCCATCTTTCTGGTTACTTAGCAAAAAACCTAGACTTGCCCCCTATCTCTTTTTGCAGGACTAGGGATTAAACCCCAGGCCTCACACATTGCAGTTATGCACTCTACTACTAACCTACATCCCAGCCCCGACTCCTCTTTTTTTCATACCTCCTATCCAATCAGCCATTCTACTTAAAATCACAACTGCTCCATCCAATGCAACACTTCCAACCTCCATTATGCACTGTCCTGTAGCACAGTCAATACCTATCATACTGCATTATTTCCTTAGTTATTTTCTCCTTTGACTAGAATGACAGCCGTGGGAGGAAATATTTTGGTCTATTTTGTTGCCTTGCAATATACTGAGAAGTCAGAAGAATATGGGGCATAGAGTAGGGCCCCAATGGACGGTGAATAAAGTTAAACTACTCCACTCAAAGGAACCCTCAAAAGATAACCTTAGTCTACACTGAGGGACAGGAAATGAAGCATGGCCGTACTGCTGGACAGCAAGAATACTTTTAAGAATATCTGAGAATGTACTCAAAGGAAAAGAGGAATGAATCTGCCCAGTTTTGAAAGGCAATCTGAACATCAAAAAACAGAACAAAATTAATGATACCATCTTAGTCTATGAAAAGCTGAGTCCACCTGAGAGTTCTAGGACTGTAGTTTAGTGATAGAGCTCATGCTTGGCATGTGTAAGGCCCCAGGTTCAATCCTCAGCATGGAAGGATGGAAGAGAGGGAGGGAGGGACAGACAAAATTCACCAAATGTCAATGATACACAAAAGGGGTATGTTTAATCTATCATTACTGATCTGTAAGTAAGGCAATGCTAATGGCTTTATGGTTATGCTGTATCTTCTATGACTACTTATCTACTTAGGAGATGTAAGTATTTACTTTTTTCTGTATAATCAGGAAGGAATATAGACAGAGGGGCTGGAGAGATGGCTCAGCAGTTAAGAGCACTGGCTGCTCTTGCAGAAGACCCGAGTTTGGTTCCCAGCACCCACTCAGAGACTAACAACCATCTGTAAGTCCAGTTCCAGGGGATCCGATGTTTTTTTCTGACTCCTGTGGGCACTGCATGACACAGGTGCACGTACATACATGTAAGGAATACCCCTATACACATAAAAACTGGGAACCACACAGTGGAAGAAGAAAACCGACTATTGCAAGTTTTCCTTTGACTTCTGCACTTGTGCAGTGGCACACACACATGCATGCACACAAACATGCATACTACACACACACACACACACACACACACACACACATATATAAATGTAATAAAAAACTTAAAAATACTAATAAAAAATATATATATTTTGCCTTTTTGAGACAGGGTCTCCCAGTAGCCCCAGCTGGCCTGGAACTCATTTTGTAGACCAGGCTGGCCTTGAACTCACAGAGATCTGCTTGCCTCTGTCTCCTCAGTGCTGAGTCTAAAGACGTGCACCACCACGCCTGGCTGAAAATAAAGTATTTTAAAATAAAAAAGAATATACATAGAGATCTGATCCTCTCTCCTCACCAAAGAAATATACTAAAAATAGGAAGAAATAGCAGGCAATTTTGGATAGATAAAATGACCAGAAAGTATGTCAGTTTGAAGTGTATCTCAAGTAACCAAGTTTTAAAGAGAAAGATCAGCTATACAGACTCAAATTCTCATCTCCTAGAATGATGAAACTTTTGGACAGCTCAATTATAATAAAGCAATATGAAGGCTGGAGAGATGGCACAGAGCACTGGCTGTTCTTGCAGAAGACCCAAGTTTGAATCCCAGCACCCACATGGTGGCTAACAACCATCTGTAACTCCAGTTCCACGGGATCCAACACCCTCTTCTATCCTCCAAGAGCATTACATGACATGGGTGCATTTACATACATGCACCCAATACATGCATACATACACGTAAAATAAAAATAAAGCAAAAAAACTGTAAAGCAATATGAGGGTCAACCACATGTTTCATTACACTGGTAGAGCATTTCAACAGATCAAAAAGGAAGCAGATACTGACCATTTCAAATAGCTCATTTTGAGGAAATTGTCACTTTAAAAAAGAAACTATCCATCCATCCATCCATCCATCCATCCATCCGTGTGTGTGTGTGTGTGTGTGTGTGTGTGTGTGTGTGTGTGTTCGAAAGGTCCAGTAATCCTGTGACACAAAGAAGAAAACTTTGCTATGAAAACTGGATTTAGTCTAAATGGCCAGCAATTCAGAATTACATTGATGTTGATCAAGCTATTTACTAATGGGTTTGATCACCAAGATTTAGAAATCTCAGGAGGCATACTGTCCCCTTTGACAAGAATTTCCTTCCCCACATATCCCTTAGCTTGTTTATCCAATCAAATGACTCAAACATTACTGAGAGGCTTTCCCTTCTTATATTTCAAACCCCTCATCATGTTTGTTCTTCCCTACACAAAAACAGCTCATTTAGAGCCTATTCTTTCTCTCCCTGCCACCATCCACATAGATCTACTTCAATCATCACTTTAATTTGCTTACAGCATACTTTTTAAATTCATCCAACAAAACAGTATCTATTATGTGCTGTACACTATTCTAGTTATCTGGGGTATAAACTTTTTCCATTACAAAGCCTAACCTGGGCTGGGGATATACCTCAGTAATAGCCTGCCTAGCATAACAGAGGCCTTGGGTTCAAGTCGCAGAACTGCAAAAAATATAAATAATGCTTATTACCTAACTGGAAGAGATAATGAACAAGAGAAATAAATTACACAATAAATATTAAGAAGGCAATACATGCTACGAGGAAAAAAAAACTAGAAGAGGGCTGAAAAGATGGCTCAGCGGGTAAAGGTCCTTGCCACACAAGTCTGGTGATCTGAGTTCAATCTGTGGAATGCCTGGAAGGAGAGCACATACTCCACAAAGTTGTTCTCTGACCTCCACATGGATGTGTATACACACCCACTGCTCATTAATAATTTTTATTTCTTTATAGTTTTTTGAGACTGGGTCTCACTAGGTAGCACTGGCTGGCTATGTGGATCAGGTTGGCCTCAAACTCATAGAGATCCACCTGCCTCTGGGTACTGGGATTATAGGTAGACACCACCACACCTGGCTACTAATAATTTTTAAGTAGAAGAAAGGAGGGGATTTAAGAGTTGCAGGGACTGTGATTTTGAAATTAGGTCGCAGAAGACACTGTTGAGGAAGTAATATGTATGTAAGACAACTGAATGAAGAGAAAAGAAACAAAGAGCACTCGAGGCAAACAGAATAGCTATTACATGTACCCAAAGGTAGGCAGTATTTAGAGAAACATGTGTTGAGGCAATGGTTCTGGACAAGAGGTTTTGCTGCACAAGCATAAGGACCTGAGTTTGGATCCCCACTACCCATGTAAAAAGCCAGACACGGCTGCACATACCTATAACTCCAGCATTAGTGGAAGAGGAGGGACACAGGAGGATTGCTGGGGTTTACTAAAGGATTGCTGGGGCTTACTAGCCAGCTAGTCTACTGCAAATTGGCAAGCTTCAGGTTCAATGAGAGACTCTGTCTCAAGAGAACAAGCAGACAGGGATAGAGAAGATACCCAACATCCTGCTTTGGCCCCTACATGCACAAGTATGGGCATGTGAAGGTCACAATGGTGAGGGCACAGTGAATGAGCAGCAAAATTAGCAGGCAGCGAAGTGAGAGGTAGCTTGTTTTACTGTTACTGACTCATGGGCTGAAACATCATGGATCTGGCCATAGTTGTGTGTACATATAATAGCACAGTCCCTCTAGAATATAAGCTTTCTCAGATGCTTGTCTTGTTTACTGCTGCATTCCCACCATCAAGCAGAGCCTGGTATGCACAAGATGCCCAATAAGTATTTGTGTGAGCAAATGATACAAAAGCCGTTTATTGAGTACTTAGTATGTGCGACACCTGGGATGAACTTTATACTCTCTCTCCTTAGCCCTAGCCCTAAGGAGGAAGGCAGTATGGTTTCTAAGTACCATCTCAGGTAGACACAGGGAAAAGGGAAAGAATATTAAGAATTGTGGTGTTCAAATTTACCACTGATTTAATATATTTAATATACCACTGATTTGTATCCCCAGCCAATACTGGTGGTTTTGGACACTATCCTTGTGGAATGAACTTACTCTGTGAGGAGGGAACTCTTACGATCAATGAACTTGAGAGCTTCAGTCAGTGTCAACTCCAGGAAAAAACCGTATCCCAGGGCCACATAAATGCGTGAAGTATCTGGCCTAAGGAAAAAAGTCAGAGGAAGAGGCAGAACTCTATTACTGTTTAACACACTGTAAAGTTTATAAAAGGTGTTTGTATTCCTCCTATTCCCCATTGAAGGCTCTGGAAAGGCAAGGGTTTTGTCTTATTTTATTCGCTGTTACACTGCCAGTATGCAGTTTCTATCCTAATAGAATAAAAGGCTACCAGAATCTGATATATAGAGAATACTAAAATAATTTGTTGCATGAAAAAAGGGGAAACTCAAAGGGGTGGGTAGACACTCACACCACTGTGTCAACGAAGAAATTACAGCCCAAATCCACCTGCATATATAACTCCGAGTGATTGGCTTCCTGTGGGGCCAGAGAAAAAGAGGGAGGGGATCAGTGGTCTACTTTTAGGCCAGATTATAGGTTTTGAACTGAGATTTCTCTTCCCATTTCCCTTCCACATGCACACACATGGATGTATACACACACACACACACACACACACACACACACACAACTTAAAAGTCTGGAGTCATTCAATGACATTTCTCAGTTAAAGGTATATGGACACACAACTTAAAAGCCTTTACCTGGAGTCGCTCAATGACATTTCTCAGTTGAAGGTATATGGACAGCTGTTCATATACCTTGTCTCTATGGTCCAGCACCTTTCTGATACAACGAAAATACAATAGTGAACAATAGGCAGTCCCATTCTTCTTGTGACACCTCACATCATGCCCAAACAGACACTTTTTTTTGCCTTTTTTTCTTTTTTTGAGACAGGGTATCTTTGTAACCCCACCTGACCTGGAACTTACTATGTAGACCACGCTACCCTTGATCTTACAGAGATCCCCCTGCCTTTGGCTCCTGTGCAAAGTGCTGGGATTAAAGGTATGCCACCACACATGGTTCTAACAGGCATTTTAAGCCAGGTGTGGTGGTGCACACCTGTAATCCCAGGACCTGTGAGAAGGAGGCATGAGGACTGAGGCCAGCCTGGGCTAAATAGTGAGACCCTGCCTTAAAAAAAAAACAAAATAAATCCACACACACTGAACACAAAAACCACCAGGCATTTTAATAAAGACATTAAAAATTTGAACTAAGTAGCACTCAGGAGGCAGAGTCAGGTGAATTTCTATGAGACAAGAGGCCAGCCTGGTCTACATAGGGGGTTCCAGGCTAGATGGAGCTACAGGGAGACCCTATCTTAAAAAAATTGAGGGGCTGGAGAGATGGACCAGTGGTTAAGAGCAGTGGCTGCTCTTGTGGAGGACGACAAGGGTGCACTTACACACATGCAGGCAATATACACATACACACAAAATTCAGAAAATATTTTAAAAAACTGGACTCAGGTCAGACTATATTTGATTCTGCGCTCTACATCTCACTAGTTATGTTGGAAACCTGTTTGGGACTCAGTTTCCTCATTTATAAATTAGAGATGACAGTATTAACTCATAGGCGTCATTAGAATCAGGTAGTTACCACAAAATGCCAACCAAATGGTCAGCATTATATGGTCACTATTACATTCTCAATACCTCATGCCAATTAAAATATCTAATTCTCACCCTAAAAATATCCTCCATCCCTTTTAGGATACTCACATAGCCCTAGCTCTGAACACCTAATTTCTTGTTCAGATTAATAATGGTTATTAGTAATAATTGAAATTATTAAAAAATAATAATAGCAATAATTATTCAGTTAACAGAGTCTTCAGTGTTTTTCAGGTCCTAGAGCTAAATTCCTTTTCAAAACAATTATCTAGGCTTATTTTTAAAAATTTTTTAAAAATTTTATGTGTACAGGTGCTTTGCTCGAATGTAAGTGCACCTTACATGTGTGCAATGCCCAAGGAAGCTAGAAAAGGGTATCGGATTCCCTGAATTAGCTGTTATGTGAGTGCTGGGAATTAAATCTGAGTCCTCTGCAAGAGCAGCCAGTGCGCTTACTCACAGAGCCATCCCTCCAACTCTCCCCACCCACTACTTTTTGAGGCAATATCTCACTGAGATGAGCTCAAACAATCCTCTCACCTCAGCCTCAGGAGTACTTGGGTTTACGTTCCTGCTTGTTAAAAAATATTTTATTATATTGATTTTATATTTATTATTATTTAGTACATTTATTTATTTATTTTGTCTATGTGTATGGATGCCATGGCACACATAGTAGGTAAGAGAACAGCTTTGGGGAGTTGATTCTCTCCTTCTACCACGTGGGTCTTAAGGATCAAACTCAGGGCATCAGTTTTGGCAGCAAGCAACTTTGAAATCTGAGCCAGCAGCAAATTGCTTGCCTGTTTTGTTTTTTGAGACATGGTCTTACATAGCCCAGGCTGGCCTCAACTTTAATATGTAGCTGAGGATGACCCTCAACACTATTTTGACTTCCATCCCAAGTGCTGAGATTACAGGCCCCTGCCACCACACCAAGTCTTTCTTTTTTTCTTGAGATTGAATTTTGTTGTATTGTCAGGGCTGGCTTGAACACTAGGGTTAAAGGAATGGATCCTCCTTCTCATCAGTAGATGGAACTACCAGCACGAACCACTAAGCCTGTCTTCGTTTTAGTTTTTTAGAGTTTCACTATAAAGTCTAGGCTGGCCTCGAACTTTCAAGGATCCTTCTCCTCTACCTCCCGAGTGCTGGGATTACAGTCGTGTGATACCATGCAAGGTTTCGTGCTACATTCTCTACATGGGTTGAATACATTTAAAGCTCAAAACTGCCATATTAAGAAGGTTCCATAAACTTTACCATTTCACAGATGTGGAAAGTTTGCAAGGCACAGAGACGAAGTGAGGTTGTTCACAAGTACTGGTTAATGCCCAGCCAGGATGAGAACTCAAACACTCAGGGTTCTAAATCGCACACCAAATGTCATCCTTTCTTCTCTCTTGTGAGTCCCGCCAACCTGAAGGCTAGGCCCAGATTCTGAACGCCCCACCCACTACGTGGAATTTTTCAAACGCCCCGCCTCCTTCGCTGTCACTCACCGCAAGTCTCGCTGCAGTACGTCACTGATAAAGGCCTCGTACCGTAGCACTTTCTCCCCCAAGGTATCCAAGGCCCGCCGTTTTGGGGGCGTCGCCATGATGAGCTCCTGGGAAAGGAGGGGGAAAACCAAGTTGAGCAATCTAGTTTGGCTTCATACCGTTTTCTCCAGCCTCTCAACGTTATGAATAACTTCTTTAGGATCATACTGAGGGGTTCCACCGTCTGCCCAACCCCACTCGTTTACCTACTAAAGACCGTGATCCTTACCTTAAGGCCTCCAGCAATAAGAACTGTTGGTATGAACCGCGGCTTCCGGGTGGCGCGGATGGATGACGTACGGCAAGCATGCGCGTCAACCAAATAGGTGAAGAGGGGCGGTCCTGTTGCGAAAAGTCAGGCCTAAGGAAAGACGAGGGCCGGGCCCTACGGAATCCATAGAGATTGCTGAAGCTGGCCCAGCGTCGGAGCTTTGTCTGCTGCCCTTGAACTGGCCAATGAGAGTCTGCCGAAGCCTGCGGATCCGCGCGTGGCCAGTCAGGGTAGAGTTTAATGAGATTTGGCGGCTTCTCCAGGAGGCTGGATCACAGGTGAAGGTATGGAGAGGGAGTGAAGCGTTTATGATTTTTTTTCTTTTCTATTTTTATTATTTGAGAATTTCATATATGTATGCAATGTATTTTCATAATATCCACCCCTATGCTCCCTCTCCAAATTTTCCCAGAGCCCACCTGCCACATCCGTCTCCCAACTTAATGTCTTTTTTTTTTTTTTTTGACACACTGAGTTCTATTAAGCGTTTATAATTTAAAAGGCAAGGGAGCATCTCCAGACCAGGAAGGGTTCTTCTAATCAATAAGGAAAGCAGTATATCCTGTGTGTTCTGTTATTTTGAATACTGATATATTTTTAAAATATTTTTATTTATTATTTTATGTGTATGCGTGTATTGCCTGCATGTAGGTAAGTGCACCCGTGTCATGCAGTGCCTGTGGAGGACAGAAGAGGCCGTCAGAGCCCCAGGAACTGGAGTTATAGTCAGTTGTTAGCTGCCATGTGGGTGCTGGGGTTCGAACCCCGGTCTTCTACAAGAACAACCAGTGTTCTTAACTGCTGAGCCAGCTCTCCAGCCTGAATATTGATTTTTTTTTTAACATGCATTCCCCTTCACTCTTGGTAAAGGGAATGAGTATGACATTTAATTTTTTTGAGATGGAGATAAATTTTTCTGAAATTCATCTTGGATGACTCCTGCTTTGTGGCCTGCAGTCCTTAACCCAGGCTGAAGTGGAGACTATAAAAGCGCTGTGTTTAATCACCTCTTTTAATAGTCAAATGGACAGTTTCTGGAATCCTCCACCTAGGATGGGCTAGCTTGTAGTTAGGAATAATGTGTATGTTTTTATTTAATTCTGTAAGTTTTCTATGAATTCATTTCAAATAAATTATTTTCCATGTTAGGTTTTCAAACAAGAGCATCAGCAAGTGAAGGCCTGAGTCTGGAGAATATCCTACATGCTAGGGTCCCCCAAATACTATTCTTACTTATGCATCCTAGAGTACTTACTCCTACCAAGAAAGCCTTCCCAGATTATTTGTGCATTCAGTGTATAAAAATAAAGTTTTGTGGGGTTTTTCTTCAAATGCTCAAAACCTAAGTAAATCAAGCTTTTCTTTGCCCTTAGAACAAGATGGTTGTAAAGGAAACAGTGAATTTCACCAAAAATAAATAAACTCCATGTTATATGTAGTTAAATTAATTTTATTTTTAATATTTTACTGATCATTTTTATTTTATGTATCTGAATGTATTGCCTACATGTATGCAAGTGCATGCATGTTGTGCAGTCCCACGGAGGTCAAAAGAGGGTGTTGGATACCCTGGAACTGGAGTTACAGGTGGTTGTTAGCCGCTATGTGGGTGCTGGGAACTGAACCCAGGTCCTCTGCAAGAACAGCCAGTGCTTTTAACCACTGAGCCACCTCTCTAGTCTCCCATTAAATTAATTTTAGTGTGCTTGAAACAGACATTAGGGAGTTAAAAAATTTATTGCTTAGTTCTTTATTTGAAAGAGAGAACAGTTCTGGTGGGCTAGAGATGGGTCTGTGCAAAACTATTTTATTTCATAGACATTATTTTTATTTAAAAGAGGTTTCTGGGCCAGTGAGATGGCTCAGTGGGTAAAAGGTGCTTGCCGACAAGCCTGACAACCTGGACCTACATTGTGGAAATAGAGAACTTAGTCTTGCAACATGCCCTCTGACCTCCACACATTTGATGTGGTGTCCACCAAATAAATAAATAAATGGAATAAAAGATCTTTCCAACTTTATTTTTTTCACATTTTAAAATATTTTTATTGAGCTTTTGTAATTTCATACAATAGTTCTTAATCAAATTTAGACCCCCTCCTCCATCCATGCCTTTCCCATCCCCCCACCAGACTTATATATTCTACCATGCATGCTAAGTCCTATTCATTCAGACATTTGTACCCAAATGTCTTTCAGTGTAAATGCATCCACTGGAGTCTAATCAGCCCATCTAGTGATCATTTGTAAGTCATATTCTCCCTCATCTCCCAGCAGCAATCAGTCTCCAATAATTCTCAGTCTAGCCCACCTATTTCTCTCCTCCCCTTTGGGCCCTTGTTTAATTGAGTTGACATGGGACCAACCGTTGCCACAAGTTCACATGTGTAAGCTTCCAGTGGCCTGGAAGCCTCTACTTCCCTGTGTTCATCAACCAGCCCCAGCTCATACAATTTTTCCACTCCCTCTTCTGCAGTGATTCCTGAGCCATGGGTAGATGAGGTTCCATAGAGGTGTCCTGTACTAAATTCTACAATCTCTTATCCTCTGAAACTTGGCAAGGTGGCACTGTAAACTCAGCCAAATACACATGGCAGGATAGATCCTCCAACTTTATTTGTACATTTAAAAATTTCAGAACAGTTAACAGTGAACACCCACAGAGCCTTCACTGAGATTCAGCATGTGTTAATATTTGACTACATTTGCTTTCTTTCTTTGCAAACGATTGTAACTTGACATGGGTGTATAGTATTCCATCCTTTGGATGGATGGTCTCACATATTTGAGCCATTACTTTTTTGTTTTGTTTTGTTTTTTTGAGAGGGTCTCCCTATAGCCCCAACTGGCCTGGAACGCATATGTAGACCAGGCTAGCCTTGAACTCACAGAGATCCACTTGCCTCTGCCTCCCAAGTGCTGGGATCAAAGGTGTGCTCCACTATGCCTGGATATTTGAGTATGTCCATTTCTTCATTGTTTATAGTCCAGGATGGGATAACAGTCTTTGCTTTCAAATTGTTGTGCATGATTATAATTGTTTCCTTGTGATAAATTTCAAAAAATAGAATTTATATGTCTAAAGGAAGTCATTGCACGGTAAATGTAGTATTAAGTGACAGTTGCATGCATACTCCCATGAAAACCCATTCACCTGGGGCTGGAGAGATGGCTCAACGGTTAACACTGGTTGTTCTTGCAGAAGACCTGGGTTCGAATCCCAGCACCCACATGGCAGCTAACAACTGTCCATAACTCCAGTCCCAGGAGAACCGACAGCCTCTTCTGACCTCCTCGGGCATTGCACGATATGTGTGCACTTACCTACATGCAGGCAATACACGCATACACATAAAATAATAAATAATTTTTTTTTAAAGAAAAGAAAGCCAACTCATCTAAGCTGTGTGCTGGAGGTCAGCAAATTGTAGCGTCTGGTTTGTTTACCCTTGATGTGTTCTTGTAGTCTATGAATTAAGAATATTACTTGTATTTTTAACTACTTAAAAACAGAGTATTTTGCAAGTCATAAAAATTACATGGAATTCAACTCAAATTCCCAGTAAAACATTATTAGAACATAGCTACACTCATTCCTTTACATACTGCCTGTGAACCGTTTTCATTCTCTAGTGGCAGAGTTTATTGGTTGTCAAAGAGACCAAATGGCCTTGAAATCCTAAGGTAATTGATACTTGGCATTTACAGTCAACATTTGCCAACTCCAGCTCTACACACAATCATGTCAGCCACCAATACAGAATTTGGGGCTGTAACCATGTAGACCTCTGGCTTCTACTGGTGATCTCTTGAATTATGGATATTTTTAGACATGACTGACTTTTCTCCAGCCAGAGACAACAGATGAACTGTATGTTTTATGTCTCCATTTGCGTTTTCTCCATCCAATCTCTTCTAATTTTCTCTTATGTCTCTCCAAACTCTGAAATGTTTTTTTTTCCTGTTGGTAGTGTTTTGTTTTGTTTTATACTACTAGGGATGGAACCCAGGGCTTCGTACATGGTAGTCAAGCTCTGTATCATTGAACTACGTTCCTTGCCCTTAACAGGTCTCTGAATTTGTCTTTTTATACTTCCTAAGAAATGACTGAGGCTTGGGTGAGTTCACATTTCCCTGTGTTATGAAACACTGTCCTATAGGTGTGATGTGGCTATTACTCTCTTGAACTCTCAGCAGCTGTGATTACCAGCACAGGGCCTGCACAAGACTGGACCCACTAATGTTCTCTAATGTGGGGGGAACAAGGGCTCATGAGGTCCCACCCCTCCTTGAGAATATTTAGGCAGTTAACAGTTGGTAGGGAAAGATTTTCTTCAGTGGTATAGCATCCCTTAAGTTGCCCATGCTCCTGTAAGTAACCCCCTCACCCATGTTTTAGTAACCCTGATTAAACTTTTTGGTTCATCAAGCTAGAGTTGAGTGTAATAGTTTCTTTGGTCTGTCATTGGTACCCTATCTGGGGTGAACAGATGTTTGTTCATCTCCCCAGGAAAAGTTCCCATAGCACTTGGCACCTGAACGTGGGGCATGACAGAAACAAAGATGAGTTTGGGAGGAGCGCTTGTATTGTCTCTGCTTTAGGTGATTAAACATACAACTGGTGCTAAACTCTCTGAGGGTGGAATGTCTGCCAGTGCAGTCTCAAGTGGCCATCTTTCCACATATGGTATGGAATGACTGCCTTCTTGTTATAGTAGCAGTTGCATTGTCCCTGCCATAAGTGAAAAGGAAATAAAGGCTGCTCCATCTGAAGGTGGGGTGTCTGTAGGGATCCCATGGTGGTTGTCTTCCTCTGTTTGGTATAGAAGTGAAAGCAATGGTGAGAGCATGGCCAGAGTCCTCCTTGGCCTTAGTCCAGTCAGAGCAATGAGAGCTAGCCCTGGCCCCACCAAACTGGTTGGAGGTAGGGAGATGCATGGTATCTCTGTGGCAGCACCCCAGGATGAGGAGGTGGGATTATGGAGAGCTAACTAAGGCAGTGCCTCCTATTCATACTGATTTTTTTGAAATAGGGTCTCATTATGTAACCTTGGCTGACCTGCAACTTACTATGTAGACCAGGCTGGCTTGAAGCTCAGAGATGTACCTGCCTCTGCTTCCTGAGTGCTGGGATTAAAGGTGTGCGTCACCACACCCCTCTTCAACATTGATCTTTTGAGGAAACATTTGATACAAGCATTGGAATCTTTCTATGCTTTCTTGGACTGCGATAATATTTTCCTTTAGTATCCCCTTAGATGTTTATTCCTGAGATTAACTCGTA